AGGATAATACAATAAGTCATACAGTAATCTAAACGACAAAGGTAAACTGCTCCTGGCACAAGTTGCGTAAGAAGCACCCCAATACTAGATATAGCGTTGGTTTATTTTTTATAATGGCAGAGTAGCGACCTATCTGAGAAATTATCCCTTCATTTCGCACTATTTGTGTACATTTCTTTATTCTTATTGTTTCATTGTCAGTTGTCCTGTTTCCATGGACGATGATAGTGCAACATCGTTTGCTGCCGAGAACAGCACCAGCAAAATAACACACTGTTGTTTTCGTGATTACAAACTGAAGTTCTTTTTATTATTATTTCTGACCAGTAACCGTCTACGCGAAAATCCTTAACAAACCAGCACCATGGCGGTTTACAACCCATTTTCAGTCCCAAGGTTGTCTTCTCGAAATGCTCTCCAGATCTCGTCCTTCATAGCCACAAGCTTACCATGGAGACTGACATATCGTTCTGACATAGTCATCAGAGCATACCACTTGTCTTCTCCCAAGTGAGTCGATTGCTCAAATTTGATCTTGACATCTTTGTAACCAAGGCTCTTTGGGTGTTCTGCTTCTACGGCTTCAATAGCTTCCAAAAAGGACCTTTGTTGGTTTAGCTCGTCATTCAGTTGTTTGTACTCTCGATAGTGACTCCTAAAACTGGATTCTAGATCGTTGTATTCTTCTAAAGTGGTCACTCGTGGTATCTTCTCAACAACGTTGGCGTATGATTCGGTTGATTCTACAGAAGGAATGCATATGTTCAATTATTTTCCCACATTCATTAGTAATCAGGTATACAATGTCATTCTTAGAAAGCTTCCTCTTACCTTCTGAATCAGAACGTGACAATGAATGCTTAGACAATTCACTTCTTTTTGGTATCTTGTAGCGTAAAGAGCTGATCTCTTCATCCGATCTGCGTTTCGTTATAGCATGGTCTGGCAGGGTGTCTTGCGTAGATGGAGTTGCTGAGGAGTGGGTATGTTTGCCAGCTAATGGTGATTTGCCGCCATGTCTATCATGACTTGAGGGCGTGGGTTTGAGAGGAGATGGTGCTTTGTTGGATGGAGGAGTGATGACAGACGGTTTGAGATGAGATGGTGAAGTTTCGCTTGACGTAGTAACGGCTTTTGCAGTAACAGAGATCGATTTACTGGTTGCTTTAGTAGATTTACGAGAGGCAGATGTCGTACTGGCCTTTTTCTTTTTCTTTGTCTTCTTTCCATCCTCGTTTAACCTATGAGTTGCACTATCGCCATCCTGCTCGTCGCCATGGTGCATAGCATTCATGCTGGGCGACGCCGCTGGTTTCGCTTTGGGTGGTCGAATGGGTGGTGCTGGCTTTTCTAAGCGCAACCTTTCTGGTGCACTCACTGGCAATTTTAAGGTGTCGAACGCTCGTCGTGCATTGTTGGCAACTTCTTCCTTTTCCTTTGTATCATATCTGTTCCAATCCCAAATCTTGATTTCTTTATAAATGTCTGGTTTCAGCGTCCAAGTATCTCCTGTCGAAGTGGCAACCTAAATAGCATTTGGTTATGATCAAACTTCTTGCTGTGGTTTGAATTTCATCGTCCAAAGAGCAATTACCTTTCGTATCATACGCATAAGATCCTTTTCGGATGCCTTGACCATATTGGCCAACAGACTCAATTTGAAGGGCTTCAAAGCTAAGAGTTGAATAACTCGTTCACGCAAGCTTGAAGAAATGGACGGAGCTCTCGATACATCATTGCCTGGTGAAGATACAATGACTGGTGAGTGCATGGCACCGGTGGTAGGTGATCCACTGGGTCGTTTGCTATTAGAATTGAGTGCTCGAGAGCTTTTCATATTGGATGATGGACCCAAGGGATTGTCGATTAATGCAATTTTTCGAGATTTCTTTTCTCTTTCAGCCTCTTCTGCACGAGCTTTGACTCGCGATTTATAGTCTGATGAAAGCATCGGGGTCATGTTCGCTTTGTGGGACACTTCCGACACAGATGTTAGACTATCGGCAGATCGACGCTTATATATCTGTGTATAGGCAGTGTCCTTTGTCATTGTAAACGGAAATGTTCTTCCCTCTATGATAATCGCCTATAAAAAGAGTGAGTGAAAATGCACCCTACGAAACTTTAGGTCTATTGCAATACTGACTGGGGTATCTCCAAAGCACACACTGAGTTTTGGCTGTGCTTGACCACGCAATGCTGACTTTTCAGTCAGTTCCTCCAGATATGCGAAGGCTTCTCTGTTTAGACGCATAGAAATTGCTTTTGCAGGTGGAGATGGAAGGGTGGATCCGGCTGAAGCCGACATGGCTACAGAAGACGACATGCCACAATTCAGCTAAAAGTTATAGTGAAGAGGATCGGTAAGCGGTGGAGCAAGGATTCTTATTGGTTTTCAGAAGGGAGGTATGCTTTGCTTCTGGCAAAGGCTTATAAGGTCAGTTGGGGGAAAAAGACTGGTTAGGTTGAGTACTGAACGTCTGGTCTGCCACTGTGGCTGTGAGAGAATGGGTTTTACTGGGCAAAATTTTAATGTGAGCCCATCTTTTTTGCTGGGAGCAACCAACACAGAGATAAAATAGGTACCGAGAGACAGTTCACATGTCGAATGGTGTATGAGTGTCTCATTATATGTACGCAATATGGATACTTGACAGTCTATGTATGTCATTGGTTGCGTCGCTCAACCAGGTTTATTTTAAGCAGGTAATCAAATGTAATAAAGGCTTCGTTCTATGGCATGTGGGACGACTGGCAGCTCCTCCAAGGTTAAAATTTTTCGAATTGCTGGGTTAATCTTTCTTTCTCTTTCTTAAAGTACAACCCCGACATGTCATCATTCACTTATGAAAAGGTTGCTGAACACAACACCAAGGATGATCTGTACATGATTATCCACAACAAGGTGTACAACATTACTCAATTTGTTGATGAGGTAAATTCTTTTTCTACAAGAAATCGCTCTTTGTGAGAGTTCATCTATTAACGCGCGCCTATCAGCACCCCGGTGGTGAAGAAGTTCTTCTCGATGAAGGTGCCAAGGATGCTACCGAAGCCTTTGAAGATGTTGGTCACTCTGATGAAGCCCGTGAGCTCTTGGAGAAGTACTATGTTGGTGAAGTGGACAAGTCGGTAAGTTGACATGACTACAGCAATGGACATGGAATGGGTTTGGATGGTGCCATCGGTGCTGCTGACCGACAATCCTATTTTCCCAAATCAACGTTCCTGGAGTAACTTTTTGCAATTTTTCTTTTTTACAGTCTGCTCCTGTCAAGCCCGTCAAGGCCGCTTCCACTAGCACCTCAGCTGATGCTCCCCAGGGAAAGTAAGTTGCATAAATCAATAAGAGTTTTTTTGGGACATGCTTGAAACTGACGTTTTTATGACCAGCCCACTTCGTATTATCCTTCCTCTTTTGATTCTCGGTGGATGGGTCTACTTCCGTTTCTTTGCTTAGACTATAGAGGAGTACCATTTCAATACTCTTCTTTTTACAATACAGAAATCAATACAATAAACAGTAGCTCGTAGCTCTATATTAACCATTTTTAAAAATAGTACAATCTACTTTTTGCAATATCAACCTGCTGCCGAGCGTCATTTTCTTATCATGTAGTGGTACAAAATGGGGATTTCGAAATCTATAAGAGTGGTATCAATGTCGCTAAGGCAACGGCTATGACCAAAGGTATACGCAGCGGGATAGACCTAATGGATATTCCAAAGGAAGTTTGTGATCCAGACATACCGCCCGAGCTGCAACCGCTTCTCTTTTTCGGCTCATATTGTTTGTCGGAGCTAAAGACAGCTGGGTAGGTAACATTGTTGGTGATGGATCCATAGCCAATTGTGTTGAGAATGTCCAATATGCCAGGTCCAATGGTAAAGTTATAGAGAGTCTGGACGGTGGTGCCGTTCAAAGTGGTGTTAATATAAATAGGCGGAGAGTTTTGGTATACCTTTGCTGTCAAATCTTGCAAAGTGATACCACTCTCATAGGAATGGGACATTAGAAAGTTGGGTGTCCCCAGGTACGAATCATCCAAGTGCGACATCATCAGCCCAGGCCGAAAATTGCTTGGAGAAAGTTCAGTGTTGCTGGTGTTTGAAGCAGAGTATAAAGTGATACTATTAGCCATGAGCGGTTGTTGGTCGGCCGAAAAAAGGTTGCTAAATGACTGTGAAGAAAGGTTGAATGCCATACTTTGGTTGGTGTGGAGGAGGTTGTATACATATTCTGCATTGGAAGAGTGGTTGCTATTGTGAAACTGTTTGATGAAATTGACTATGTAGGCGCCATCGTTTTGAAGGCAAAAGTTTTGTATGTCATCTCCAATGGTAGCTAGTGATTGTGAATACCCTGCATGTGTCGTATTGGCAATAGCATATTTGTCAAAGATCATTCCCGGTAAAAACCCAGTGAGATATACGGCTCCACTTTTGCTGTCTGTGTACGAATTTGGCGTCAACGTGGCGATGGAAAGGTATGAAGGGTCAACCATGCTTTGAAGAGACAAGAAATACGGCGATTCTGGGCCAACAAAATAAGATCCCCATGAGCTTAGGAAACCCAAGCCATGTAATAACTCATGCAATATAATATATTCCATGTCGATTTGGTCTGATCGAATAGTGGTATCCTCCTGAAAGACATACGTGTCAGTATATTATGTTTCCTGCATATAACATATTGAAGAATGCATACCTGGAACCAAAATCGACCACCTGGTATGACACCCGTTCCATTCCAACCTTGCGTGGAAGCTGTGGTCGTCCCAGCCAGATAGGCATCATGGTTGAATTCCGCCGATATATCAAAATCTTGACCGTCCGAAGTAGACCATGAGGTAGAATTGTACGGTGACAACTGCTTCGCTAATGCTTGCGGGTGTAAATAGTTCGGATCCACGCCACGTAAATTAGGTAGGGTATACTAGAAAAAGATTGGGTTAAAAACGTGTCCAGCGTAAAATCACAATGATCAAATTCCGTACCTGAGAGGATGGCAGAGCCCAGCCATACGTCCCGTTAGCACATTGCTTATCGCAAAAGTTGTAATAAGAGGCATCAACGCTTTTGAAAAAATGAGTAAGAGAGATATAATGTGGAATGCAGTTGATCATAGCAGACTTACACAATTCTATTTTTGACGCGGAGGACCTGTCCGAGTTGGCTTATAGCCGATCCAAATGCATTGGCCACTTTTGAACAAAAAGTCGCGTCCAAGTTACATTTGAGCCGAACTTCAATTTCAGATGTGAAAGAGGTTATAACATTGGTGCCTGAAGTGTTCGTCAGAGCTGTAGTCACTGTTGGAGGAGCTAACGCTATCGTGGATCCTTGGCCAGCTTGGACCGTAGCAGTGGTTTGTGTGGGAGGAGCGGCACTGATGGAAACTGTTGGGGTTTGTGCCAATGACGATGATACGCCATAGAGGAGCCGTCCTGCGGCCTGAACGTTGTATGAAAGTTGGTGGGTCGATATTAAATAATCATGGCCGCCGAAAGGATTGTTAGAGCGTTGTTGGATGTGAGGGTTACTTGATTCAATGGGTCCAATGAATGTTCCAGACTTGATATCTAAGTCGTAGCGTTTGGGGGTTGCTGGTGGATTGTTGGTTGATTCTGTGGCTACCACTAGCAAAAGTCCACTTGCTGCTAAACTAATGCCGTATTTCAGGTACCATCCGAGTAACATGACACCCAATGTCGACAAGTTCAAGAAAGCGTGTATCTCGTGTGAAGCACTGTAAATTTTTTTTGTGCAACCACTTTTGCCATTAATTTATTCATTTCGTGCGCAGCCGTTCGCGCTTCCGAATAGAATACATACAATGTTCTGTGAGATTCTGAGCCCAAGGTTACTCTACGTAACCTTCATTTAACGTCATAAAAATGCCTTCTTCCATCCATAATTTTTATTTTCAGTTGGATAGTTATTTTGGTATACTATGTTACTATTGCCAACGAATTTATTTCTCCACCATCCTGGACAAACGAATCTGCTTGGCATCCTGTTTACTGCTAGTGTCTGCCTTCCGCTTGGTTCCTCGTTGGGATAGTTTGCTTGCTTTACTCTTTCGTTGGAGACGCTCGTCGTCGCTATCTTCACCGCTTCCGTCATCTACATCGACTACCTGTGGTTGCAACCTCTCAATTTCCTCTGGCAGGTTTTGGTCCACATCGATAAGATGACGTTGATTACTACCAGTATTCACCTTGTTGCTTGAATCTAATGGTCGAGGTATTGGTTAGCCATACATATGATGAGTGGTATGTACATTGTCTCACCACTTACCATAACGAAGGCCTTTCTTTTGAAGTACTGTGTCGATGCTGGAAAGATATGCAGTGTAAGTATCCCACTCCTTTCCATCTGCTTCCACAGTTAACCCATGTTCCTCCATCAATGAGTCAATCTGTCTACGACTGTACATAATAGTTAGTTACAAGTGAACCGAAAAATGTGTTATGGAGTTCCATACTGTCATTGAATCCATGTACTTACATCTTGGCGACATCTCTTGCCCTTGTTAACAGTGGTGAAAACACAGTAAGAAGCTTGAAAAACTTGAGGCAAGTCGCTTTGGATTCCTGGTCATTGATCTTGCTGTATCCTCCAGCTTTTGAGAGACAGTACGTGACGCCAGCAATGTGGATTTTGTCGGTCAAGTGGTCTGGTGACGTTTTATGGAAAGGATCACTGTCGGCTGCCTTTATAGAGCCCGCCAAGAGTCTTGCTAGTTGGAGAGGTTTGTCAAGCTGTGGCTGTCGCTCATGTGTATGAAGCATGAACGACTTGTAAGAGTTAGCTAGCGGTAAATTCTGAGGGGATTGTTACATAGATACTTACCTCTTTCAAAGCATCAAAGTACATTGATAGAGTGTCTTGTGCTACCTTGGAGTCAGGAACAGTGTTCAAGTTGTCCTTGATGGAAAAAATCATAGCCTTGATCGCTTCGTCAAGCTCAGGGCCCAAGCTTCGATATCGCTTAATGACCTTCACGGCAAGGTGTGTGTCGAATATTCCCAGCAAAATGGCTTTAGCAAAGGCAGCTACTGGAGTCAATAGTTCATATTGTTTTTTGGGATCCGAGAGTGGAGAGGATGATTGTTCATTATTCTCTCTTGTTTCGTCATCGTCGCTATCGTCTTCGTTATCTTGTGTGCTATAATTCTGCCCCCACCTATCCAACTCTTGCTCAACATATTGTGATGCAGAGACCTGCACGTTTGGCGCGGATCTCAGCATTAGAGAGGAGCCATCGGCGCTGCGTATGATTTTGAATTGTTCATTCGAGAACAGCCAGTGGAGGTCAACAAACATTTGGAAAGACTTGGGATAAACGTTAATAGGCATATACATAGGAATGTAATTTCTTTGGACGCAACTTACCAAGCGCCTAATACTGTCCACTGCCTGAGATAATTCATTGTTCAGTGCAAGATCGGTCAAAGTGTGGATAACATCATTTCGAATAGCGATAAGTCTAGATAAGGGAACGCTTGATGTGTCAGCAAGCACTTGATAGCTCTTCCATGCCAAATACTGGAACAAGATGGTCGCTGCGGACACCACCATCTGGAGATCGAAGGGAGGTATGATTTAGCAAACGTTTCAACAAATCATGTTTATGCGATGTTATCATCTGCTTACCACTGTTTCTTCGGGATGTCCTAGTTTTCCTCGTTCCAAAAGCAAAAGGACAACTTGAATATTCAACGTATCCTTTGAAAAGTTCTCTTCAAACATGTCAGTGATGTCCATGACCTCAATGATTCGCTGGTATCGGGAAAGCGCAATGGTAAATGTGTGGATATCATTTTCCGAAAACTTTGTAGCTTGCAAATCCTAATTCAATTTCAAAACGTTAATGCTAAGTATAACCGCCCCCACTACCGCTTCAAAACGCATACCTTTTCAGCAAAAGTTCGTTTGAACAGAATGGCCAGCTCATCCCGGAATTCGTTCAGGCTCGCTTCTGTGGCTGATGCCATGCTCTCAAACGATGTTAAGCGCTTTATTGCCAAGGCCGCGTTTAGGTGAACTTGTGATGTAGTGTGTCGAACAAACATTTTCTTGACGTCCTCCAACAATTGCTCATATGCCTGTAAAGCCATTTAGCTCATAGCTTTGGTATGTTTCAAGTAAGAAGAATGGATACTCACTTTGGGCATTCGAAGGTCGGTGTATGCTGATAAGCTAATGAGCTGCGGTAATATCAAAATCTTTGCAATTATATTGGCATCAGCAGCATATTTTGACATCAAGCGTGTCAGCATTTGTGCAATGTACCGAGAGACATTGTTTTTTGTTTCTTCATCAGCCGTTGTCTACCGGAAAAGGGAAGTCAGTATGGCATTGGGGTCACAAGCAATAAAAGCGATGAAAACTTACCTTCTTCTTGGATTTGGATCTTCGCTCAGCTGAGGGTTCAACGCATAAGGTTACCACAGCAATCAAAGCTTCAATCAGCACATATTCCTCGTCATCTGTAAGCTGGTAGTATTGCTGAAGGTTATTAATGGCATCAGGTTCGGATGACGCTGCCGATGAATAATCTTTCAGTAAAAAATCTACCAAGGCTTTCCACTCCTACAAGTAAGATGTTAGTAACATGAAAAACCTTTGATCATGTAATACTGTATATTAGCAACATACCCGAAGGATTGGAATAGCCGGAGCCAAAGATGTTATAGCCTGTGCGATTCGGCTGTCTTCATCATTGGATACACCTTTCGAAAGGGGGTCAATATTGATTTTATCGCTAGATTGTTGAATGGGGTCACTTCGTGTGTCCAGTTCCATGCCATTATCTACAGACTCTGAATCGTCAGCCTCTGTGTTATTCTTGGGCTTTTTCACCACTTGACTGGCCTTGCTATATTCTAGCAAAATGGTCGCCAAACATTTAAACTCGATGGCGTTCTTATCGACCACTGGTTCCGATGCTACACCGCGTGTTCTTCCACCAGCTGTTCTAGCTGGCGGCAGTGTTGCCGCTTTTGCTTTTGCTTCCTCCAATTTGGGATTGACATAATTGTTTTCGAGAGTCAAATGAATAAGTGGGGTAATAGCGTTTCGTACTTTGGGTAAATCCGAGAACACCAATGTGCCTAGTTCAGCACACTCATTCGGTTCCAAAATGCTGTTTTCGGCCAGAGAAACGCACAATCGAATAGCTTGTATGCGGATTGGCTGATCTACTTCATAGAGAGCCATTTCCATCATTCTGGTCTTGAACCTCTGCATGAATGGCTCCATTGTCGTTGCATTGGCCTCTCTTTCGTACAGCGCAATGATGCCTTTGATTGATTCCGCACGGACATTACTTGACTATAGTATTTTGGAAAATGTTCAGGTCAACCGCGAGGGTACATCGTACCAGCATGGAGACAATAGACTTACCTTGTCATTCAATAACCAGCCAATGTAACGTAGGTAGTTGTTATCTAGGAAATAGGAAGGATATTGCTCCATCCATTCTCCGAGGTGCTTAATGCATTCCGTCCGGATGATTGCTTCCACGTCACGACATCGATGAACAAAAACTCTGCGAGACAATAATCAGGAACGTCAACCAAGCGGTATGTGATATAAGATGAGCATTTACTTACGAATCAAAGTAATGCTTTATGTAGCCATTTAGACGGACTTCCTTATTTGCTAGAGTCTTGCTTTTTTCTTGCAACATTTTCAGTCTTTCGGTAGCGTTACCATTGCTAGTTTTACGTCGTTCAGCTCCTAATTGCCTGTTCGCAATCTTCTTCTCTTGAACAGCTCTGTTTGCAACAGCGGATAAGGCAGATATCAAATTTAGTGCAATCATTGTCGCTGTATGACGGAACGGGCGGAACGTGGAGCTAGAGAAATGATAATAGCTCGTTAGCCAAGAGAGCGGAACAGTGTCCTTGACAATGTCACCTACCTTGACATTGTCGCAAGCCATGCCTGAAGAGTCTCGATCAGTAGCCCATCATAAATGATGTCGTATTGACATTCTTCAATTAACTTCTTCCAAAAAGCGATCAAGTCGGTTTTCAGTGTCTTGAATACACGTAACTTGGAGGCAATGGGATATTCCGTGTAACGATCCTGAGGACGAACGAGTCAATAAGTTAAACTTGGGAGCATTTTCTTCACTTGTACAGATGTCATCTACTTACAGAGGCAATCTTCTTCTCCAAGTTCTGCAAAGCTTCCACGATATAGTCATCATCCTCAATGGCTTTCGGATCCACCTTTTCTTTGGTTCCACAGCTCTAAAGATTGACCATGAAGCGTATTAGTTTCGATATCCAACTCCGGACATAGCGAGCAATGTGGACAGAGCGACTTACGCGAGTGATAAAATTGATCAGGTCGTGTACAGCATCCATTTTTTCAGGACCCTTGTACTTTTCAATCCATTCCTCAATAACATTGTCCAGCGTCAAATTATGAGCTAGTAATTGACCTACAAAGTACAATCAGTCGTCTATACATTCGCCTGCCTAGTAAAGATTGATGCTTACCGTAAAGAGAATGGATATCGTCCTCCTCGTCCAATTCTTGAAAACCGTCAGAAGGCGACTCAGGAAGAGTAGTTTTAGCCAATCGCTTTTTTCGCTGTTTGTTTTCTATTGTGGTTCTGACGTTGCCGGCACGCACGCCTCCTTCACTGTCGCTACTACTGCTGTTGTCCGTATCCATCAACTCATCCACCTCGGATTCAGACTCATTATCCGAAGTTGGTGTCGATTTTTCGACATCTAGATTGAGAAAGCAAAGGTTAATTGTCGAAGAGTAGAAAATCGTGTGAGCGCGACATTTACTTTTTTCGGTGGTAGCCTTTTGCTGGCTGGCTGGCTGTCTACGAGATCGACGAAGTACGTTCTGTAATTGACAATGGTCAGTTTATTGCTTTCGAACACCATTCTGAAACACTTGTACAAATCAATGTGGGTGTAATGTTACCTCCTTTAGAGCAGTGCCCATTTTTTGATAACTGGAAAGAAAGTGGACGCGTTCTCGAAATTGGCGACTACCCAAAAAAAAAAAGTCGCGTCTAAGTTTAAGGGCGGCATTCAAGCACGTGATCTATACTACTTCCGCTGTTCTGAAGACTTCCAAACGAGTGAAAAGCTACAGGATAAGCACTGTGAGAACAAACAAATCATACAAATTTATATGAATATTTTAATTATAATACACAGTGCAATCGTTATAAAAAGCCTTCATGATCCTACCAAATGCAAGTGTACCCAGTCGAATCTTTCGTCTCCAAAGATATCCCAACCTCGTTATAGACTGTTGGTACAATCAAAAAGAATAGCATTCGAGTACGTTGTGATTGAAAAAAGTAGAGAAGCAAAGCATCGAACTTTTATGGCTTCAATTTTCTTTGAATATTGATCTGATTCGAACATGTGACTTTGGGTCTCACCCCCTCGCAAGCGACTATCTTCGAATTTTCCTGCTGGCGTGATTCTCTATTCACACATGTCGATTCTACAGCCATTGAGCCCGCATGAGCCGGAGTACAAGGCTATTTCAACCTTCAATATCATACAGGAAGCAGGTATTTGCACATCTCGAGTTTCGAACGTAGTTGGTGCCATTCAGCGCTGAAACGAAAACTTACCCCGCACACAACTAGGTGTTGACCATGAAAGCCGACCGATCTTAGTTCTCAGCGCTTGCAAATTACCTGATCCTAATGTCATAGATTACGATCTGATCTTGAGGTATGAACTATTGATTTAGTCAAAATTTTTCACTTGCTTTCTGAATGAGACTGACATACCTTACTTTATTTTTTCCGGGGACGACATGAATTTTTAGGTTTATACTAGCGAGACTGTATGTATAGAGCAAATGTATTGTCATGAAAGAAATGCATGCCAACCTATATGATTGATAGGAACGAGTTTGTGGAAAGTGATTACGTACTGGTCTTCTTAGCTGCACCGGCAGCATATCGCCCGCCGTGGCTGTGGCTGTTAAAGGCTTATCGTGCCCTTGATCGAAGGTACAGTAAAAGCTCACCAGAATGGCGGGGGGATAGCAGCAAACAGTGACACTGAAGTCTTATAATAGATACAAGAAAAATTTGAAAGCACTTCATGTTGTTCATTTAACACGAACATATCGCATGATCTTTGATCTTGCCAACAAAATTACCAGGTAAATGACTAACATACGAGCGGTAAATTATCTGTGGGGGGTTTTAAACTAAACTACAGCAAATTCTAGCCCTAAATTTGCTCGAAAGCTCCATTATTACAGTTACCTTAGCGAACTCGAACCAGTTATTTCTATATCTCAACTGAATCTACCAAGTGCTGTCCGGCCATATGATGAACAACTCCAACGACCCAACACTCCTCCCGCATATGCTAGTCGAGAAGGCAAAGCGTTACCTGGTCTTGCTTTTGGTGTATCTCTTGAAAAGCTGGCAGAGTTCGACAATGCTAGTGACGCGGATGAGGACTATGTGCCCAGCGTTGTGAAACAAATAATAGAGCACCTGCAGCAGAATGGTAAGAAAATAGAAATTTTACGTATTTTGGCGCCAAAATAGGCCAGAATCTCTAAAACATCTCGGAATAGGTATATCACAGAAAGGAATATTCCGCAAGTCCCCCTCGAGTGAAGAGTTAAAGTTTGTGAAAGATGAGCTCAATAGAGGTATGACATATACCAGTCGTAATGTGCGAACCTGGACCCAGCGATTTGCACTAACTCGTTTATTAGGCGTCAAGATCGATCTTTCGAAATACGATATTCACTTATCAGCGTCACTACTGAAAGTGTTCTTCCGTGATCTCCCCCAAGCTCCGTTGTCATTGGATTTTGTCAATTCTGTGGGAAACATCACAGGTGAATGGGTTGAGATGGTTTTGAATAGCGTGGGTTAACCATTAATTGACCCCACCTTTCAATTCTAGATGTCACGGAGGAAACCTTGCAACATTTAAGGACACAGTTTCAACATTATTATGGCACACAAACCAAACTCAAGTCGTTGCTCCGATATTTGTTCTCGTTCTTGCACGACGTGTCAAATCATTCTGATCAAAATCTTATGACAGCCCATAATATTGCTGTGATTTTTGCTCCCAATCTACTACGCTCTGACGATGAAAGAGCTATGCCAGACCCAGCGACGTACCTGCAGCAGATGAACAAGGGGATGGGCCTTGTAAGGTGTCTTATTCAGGAAAGCGAACTTGTATTCGAGCAATAAAAGCGGGTGCTGTTTGTCTAAACACGTCACATCATACCCCAATTGGGTACACTTAGTTTCGTATCGGCGATTGAAATCAATACATGGTTTTTTTTTCCACCTGCTGGTTGGCATAACCGCTTTTGTACCTTTCCGTTTCGCCTCGGTGGCTCTTGGCGTATTATGAATGAAAAAGAACAGATAAACGCTCCTCTCCAGTCAGTCATGAATGGAGTTGAGCAAGAAAAGCAACTAGCAACTGAAGCCCTCGCCGACGCCAACAAGCAAGTACAAGAAACCGCTGGAAACGCAAAAGTCTATGTCTTTGACGAGGACATGTCGCCTGAGCAGAAGAAGGCGCAAGCTCAGGCCGCGCTTCCGGACACCTTTCAAGGCAAAGACACAGGCGGTAAAGCAGACTCCATGCCTACTGATTTGGGGACAAACGACGCTTCTACTGTAGCAGCAGCCCTTGCAAGTGCTTCTGCGGCCCCAGCTGCAACCTTACAGGGAGCTCCTGGCGCCTATCCTACTCAAAAAAGCAACGGTCTCCCTGAATGGTACAAAGTTGGATGGACATCCTTTTCCGATCTACCTAACCCTGGAGACGAAAAGGCTGTTGAAGAGTACAAGGCTACTGTTGCCTCGACTAGTCAAGCTGACTTGCTTCCCGAAAAGAACGCTGACATGCTTGCTGACTTTCTCAAGGAATCTTATTATGGAGAGTGGTATCACAATGCAGGTGTGATCTTATTCACTGTAGTCTTCACTTGGTTTTTGGCACGTATCGGTAGCGGATTGATGTCGTGCTTAGTGATTGGCGCGTTCTTAGGTACGATCATTTTATTCTGTAGGATGAGTGGGACTCCGATCCATGACGGTGTTTCAATAACTGACCTTGCTGCTTGACGCCTCCTTTTTGCTTCGTCTTCTGATTGCAGCTACTTATTACCAAACATCCATACGTCGACTGCGTAGAAATGCCCGTGACGATGTTCAAAGAGAATTGGTGAAGGCACGTCTGGAAACCGATGTCGAAACTGTTGACTGGATGAACTCTCTTCTGGGTAAGCTTTTCTGAACATTCTAAGCCTATGCATCGAAAGCATGGATAATTATAGTAATATGTGTAATTATGCCCCGACCACTTCCCACAGACAAATTCTGGTTGATTGCCGAGCCTGCTATTAGTGCTCAAGTTGTCGGTACTGCCGATGCTATCTTGGTGGAAAATACCCCATCCTTCCTCGACTCGATCCGACTTACGACCTTTACCATGGGTACTAAAGGACCTCGCATTGAAGGTGTAAAATCATACCCTAAAACTGACCCCAACGTTGTCGTAAGTAGTTTTCTCTTCATTCCATCATAAATGATAAAGTTCGTCCATCTTATTAACGAAAATGGATCAGGCTATGGACTGGAAGGTTTCATTCACACCTAACGACATCTTGGATATGACCAAGCGAGATGCACAGGCTAAAGTAAACCCAAAGATTGTGCTTACTGTCCGCCTTGGCAAAGGGTTTGTTTCAGCTCCTGTCCCTATTTTGGTTGAAGACCTTGCTTTCACTGGCCATATGAGAATCAAATTGAACCTCTTCAATGAATTCCCCCATGTCAAGACGGTTGAAGCTTGCTTCTTGGAACAGCCTACTTTTGACTATGTACTTAAACCTGTTGGTGGTGAAACCTTTGGATTCGACATTAACAATGTAGGTTGGGAGTGAAGGATACATGCATTTAGCGAATTTTGCAGTTCTAAGCCTTTCTTTTAGATCCCTGGTTTGCAATCTTTTGTTGCCGAACAAGTTCACGCAACACTTGGCCCCATGATGTATGCTCCCAATGTCTTTACTGTTGATGTCGCCGGTATGATGGCGGGTGGTACGGATTTGGAGGCAGCAAACGGTGTTCTGGCTGTCACTATCTACTCCGCTTCTGGAATTAAGAGCGGCGACATCTTTGGTAGTATTGACCCTTACATTACCTTCCACACTGGAAACACAAAGAACAAGGAACTGGCCCGCACATCTGCCGTTGAAAACAGTACATCTCCTCGCTGGAATGAGACTCACTTCATTCTACTCAATAACCTCAAAGAGACTCTATGCTTGCAACTCATGGACAGAAACGTCGGTCGCAAGGACGCAGCTCTAGGTGTCGTCAATCTCGAACTTAAGGAACTGGAAGAAAACGACAATCTACTAGAAGGATTGAATCTCATTGCCTTGAAAAACGGTAAAGCTATTGGTGAAATCAAAGCCGATGTCAGATACTACCCTACTGCCAAACCTACTACGTTGGAGGACGGTACCATCCAGCCAGCTGCTGCATCCAATAGTGGTATTCTTCGATTTACCGTTCATGAATGCTCTGAGCTTAGTGCTGGTAAAAGTGGCGGCATTGGTGTCCCACTTCTTGGAGGCGGAGCTGTCAGCGCTTACGCGAAGCTCAAGGTTAACGGCAAGGAAGCTTTGCGTACAAAGACGTTTAAGCGAAGCAGCAACCCACGTTGGGACAAATATGTCGAAGTATTTGTTGCCGACAAGACTAAGGTGAATCTCAATATCGATGTCATGGAAAGCAAAGAGTTCGCCGACGACTCCCTTATCGCCACCTGGAAATCCACTCTCACTGCAGTTGAGAAGCAGCTTGTGGAAGATAAATCCGAATGGTGGAGTTTGAACGACGGTCGTGGCAAGATTCACGTCTCCTCTATCTGGAAGCCTGTGGTCATGACTGGACTTGGAGAAGGAATGAACCACGTGTCCTACTCACCTCCTATTGGTGTCGTTCGTTTCCACTTTTTCGGTGCTACCAACTTGAAGAACGTGGAAGCATTGACTGCCGGTAAATCGGACCCATACGTCAGAGTTAAGTCTGGCTTGCATACTAGAGGTCAAACTGAATTCATTGATGACAATCTCGATCCCGACTGGAACGAAGTGGTGTACGTACCTATCCACTCCATTCGCGAAGATTTGGTTTTGGAAGTTATGGACTTCAATGAAAATACGAAGGATAAACTTCTGGGTCTCACCGATTTGTCCATCAAGTCTATCGTCAAAGAAGTTGAAGCTGCAAATGGTCAGAAGATGTATGAAAGTTTGCCCGCTATCGATAAGTAAGTAAAGAAACATTAGGTAATGCATTCCCAGCAGACGGCCCACTAACGCTGTGTATGTGTACAATTTTAGAACTGTCGACCTGACTACAGAGGAGCGCCAAAAGGGCAAAGGAAAATTGCATTATGCTGCTTCGTTCTATCCAACTTTGGCTCTGGCAAAGGCTGCCGAAAAGCCTCAAACTGAAGCCGAAAACGGCGAGGTGAAGAAACCTGCTGAAGGCGAAGTCGCTGCAAACGCTGATGTCGCCACGGACGAGTTGCCTGAACGCGATTTACATGGAGAGCTTATCAAATACACTCCTGACGACAGGATTGACTTGCTATCTTATGAATCTGGTGTCTTGATTGTCAATATTCAAGAGGTCGAATTGCCAAGACCTGAGAAAGTGTATGCCGAAATCTTGCTTGATGCTAATGATTCTCAGTACAAGACTGCTAAATTGAAGGGTACTCATCTGCCTTTCCATGAAACGAGCGATGCATTTGTCAAGGAGATGGACTTTGCCAAGGTTGTTATTCGTGTTAAGCAAGCGAGAGATGGCGATAAAGACGACAATCACATTGCTTCTTGGAGCGGTCAAGTCAAGGATCTCGTTCGAAAGATTCAAGACAACAACAAAAAACATATCGAAAACAGCGAAGATGATAATGATGGCGAGATCTTTAACTTGATGGACTGCAATGGTGGTACCATCAAGTTAAACTTTGACTTTATTCCCGTCATCAATTTCAAGTTGGATCCCAGTGAAAGTTTAGAAAGTGCGTATCTTGATAAGTGAATTATTTTGTCTTTTACCACCATGTTCATCTTTTGCTAACCGGATTTCACAGACCAAGGTAATCTCACCGTCACTCCTCTCAAAGGACATAACTTCCCTGCAGCCGACCGATCTGGTACAAGTGATCCCTATATTGTGTTCTTGCTCAACGGACAAAAAGTCAAGAAAACAGAAGTGTACAAGAAAAATCTCAATCCTACTTTCGACAAAGATGAACTCTTCGTCGTTCCTATTCCATCACGAACTGCAGCTAGCTTCCGTGTTGAGGTGTTTGACTGGGACCAAATTGGCAAGGATACACTGCTAGGAACTGGTGAAATTCCATTGGCAGGAAATAGTGTCGAGAGTTTCGGATCAAAACAAATTGAGATTCCTATCTCTGGCTCATCAGGAGGCAACTCATCGTTGACACTGCGATTGATGTGGCAACCACAGCTATTGGCCAAAAAGAAGACCCATACCGGTTTCTTAGGCTCTACTACAAGAGCATTCACAGGTGCTCCTACTGCTGCTTTCGGTGCTGGTCGCACTCTCGTTGGAGGAGGTGCTCATGTCACTGGTGGTGCTCTTGGTGCAGGTGGTAAGGCATTTACCGGCGGTGCAAATGCTCTTGGCGGAGGTGTCAATGCTCTTGGATCTGGTCTTAAATCTGGAATGGGCTTTTTAGGCGGTAAGCCAAAGAGCAAACCTCAAGAAGTCACTCCACAGCCATCATCTCCTGCTCAATCAGCCCTTGGTCAAGTTCCACTGCCACCTATTACGACTGCTCCTGCACTTTCCCCAACAGCTAGTAAGAATAGCGATGACAACGCCAGTCTCTCCAGTCTGACAACCCCGGTAATGTCTCAGTCAACTAGTAGCATCGGTAAGCATACATTTTATTTCATCAGTACACCAAAATAGCGACATGACTGATTTTTTATTTTTATTTTATTTTGGCCTTAAAGGTACCACGGGCGAAGATGGTACACTTGTCATCAGTTTGATTGGAGCAAGAGGTCTCAAAGCCATGGATCGTGGCGGTACTAGCGATCCTTATGCTCGTGTTCGTATTGGCAAGAACGTTGTTGCCAAAACAAAACACATCAAGAAAACTTTGGAACCACAATGGTAAGTTGTCCCAGGTATTGCACAAGTTCAATATTTATGATTGTAAGCTGACTGTGATCGCACTACAGGAATGAGAGATTTGAGGTTAATGTAACTGGTACAAAGACTATGGTCGATATCAAGGTGAAAGATCACAATACACTTCAAGACGTCGATATTGGAAACGTCATTCTTGACCTATGGGAAAATGTACAACCCAACAAGTCCTTCCAGGGTTGGCTGCCTTTGCAACCTGCTGGAACGGGAGAGGTCAACGTTAGCATTGAATTTATGAGAAAATAATTCTCCAGCGACAAGGATTTAGCCAATGTATATTTCTTCTTTCATATCTTCAGTGTTTCATATTAAAGCACACCGTATTTTGATACTTTGCTGCAACAAGTTCATTCCACGAATTTTTTTTTTTCTTTGAGTGCCTGAAATTTGTGACGTTTTTTCGGGTTAAAGAAAAACGCTCCAATTTGTGAACGCAATTTACATTGTGTCGACAACCATGTTCATTCTTTCGGTGCTGAAGGACACTATAAAGATTGAGCCTGCTGATTTTCGAAAACCAAAGCAAGAGGCAATCACCGATGAAGTAAACAAAAAATATGCCAACAAGGTGAGCATTTGATTCCCAAATGAGTATGTGTCTTCCCGGCATGACTGACAGTTTAACCCATAGGTTGTTCAAGAAATCGGCCTTTGCATCAGCCTTTTCGATATCATAGAAGCAAGTGAAGGTGTTATACATCACGGCGATGGTTGCAGTTATGTCAAAGGTTCGTAGAGGTTACTTTGGCCCTTCTCACCGCTCACACTTGTCTAACGCAAATCAAACCTCTTATAGCAACATTCAGAATGGTTATATTCCGACCCTTTATCAACGAGGTCTTGACCGGAACTATTAAAAGCTGCTCAGAAAAAGGGATCCGAGGTACGTTGGGTGATAGGAATATGGAAGCTGTGGTCACAGTAATTCTCAACAGTTTTTTGCTGTTGTTTAGTTTCTGTAGGGTTTTTTGATGATATCACTATTCCTCCCGGTTGTTTGCAATCTGGATCTAGCTTGTAAGTCATACATTAGTTGTTTCGTATATGCAATCTAGAGAATAGTTGACTGATTGCGCTTTATGTATAGTGACGCGGAAGAGCGCGTTTGGATATGGAACTACGATGGAGAGAAGCTTTATATGGACATCGAAGAACAAATCCGATTTCAAGTACTCAGCGAAGTATTTACTGATACCACACCTACTCCTACAAATATTGGTCCGACTGGACGAAGACAGTCGGCAGCAGATGCAACCGCAGCAAATGACTTGGCTGCCAACTCCACCAAAATTCCACCTTATGCATTGACGGTTAGTTGAACTACCTGCATAGCTCGTGCTTGATCTATTTACATGACTGACGTTCATACGTATTTACACTACAGGGAAGCATTGCGACAGATGGTCTTGGACCTATCTCATGGTGGGGAGGTCAATAAGACAGATGTATAGAAGCCATTGTATATATACACTTTTTTAAAAGCAATTTTTCATGCCGATTGGATTTGTCCAAAATCTACGCGTCAATTAATACATCAAAGTTGGGCATAACAGAGCAACTTTTATTAAGAATGTATGGTATAAGAAAAAAAAATGCGAGAGTGATTTTGCTGAGTCATAAAGGTTTGGCGACTACTTACTTCATCTTCGGCATTTGGCCACCAAAGCAAGTAAATTTCGCCGGTAGTGATAGGCAATGGCAATTATACTCACAGAGACTGTAAACACAGCTGTAAAATTTTGTAAGCTTCTCCTTTTAAACACGAACGATGATACATATGGAGAATTTCTAATGTTGTGATAGTATGGTGCGTTGTATGGGATCCATCCATCGGCTACATCCTTCCTACTAGAGCTGACGACTTTTCGCTTGAGATCAATGACGATTTTGAGGTGTCTTAGTGGCGCAGAATATCCTCCGTCTGCGCGAACAGATCCTTCATATGACTTTGGCGCATCCGAATTCGGTTCATAGAAGCCGTAGCGTTCCAGTCTAGGCATAAACAAACCATATGCAGGCATATACGTATCGACGAATGCTGTAACTTGCTCGTCAGACATGCCCTGAACTCCTCGCGTTTTGATCATATTGTGCTCTTGTTCCAATCGCCATTGATAAACATTCTCGAGTGATGTAGGAGCCATGTGACAAAAGATGTCGAAATAGGGATAAATAGCATCTTCATAAGCCTTCAAGTTGGAGTTGATGCTAGATACTTCATCGAAGCTGAATTTTGTAGCTTGAGGAGTGATGTCGTACACCTCTTGCAAGATGGAGTCTGGTAAATGCTTAAATCCAAGAGACCAGCCTTCAAAAATGATGATATCGTATGGTGCTGCAACTTTGGTCCATTCAGATTTGTCCAGACGATCACCCCGACCTTGGTGAAGTGACTTATCGTATCTTGGGATGGCCACTGTCGGAGCTGATGTTGGCGATTCTAGATATTTGTGGTGTGCATCAAGAAGATCCGCAAACACTTGTTTGGCGAGCTCGAGATCGTGTGAGCCAAATTGCCCACGAAGCTCGAGAAGCCTATTCCCAGGATGACTGTTCACTAGCTCTACTTGGTCTTTTCTCGTCAGATAAAGGTCGTCCAAAGAGAATACAACAACCGACAGGTTATAGGGCTCTTCGCGAAGAATGGATGCCAGGGTCTCGCAAGTAGTTGTTTTCCCACTTCCTTGACATCCTGAGAAACCGACTACAAATGGCTTTGTAGGTTTGTTGGATGTCATGAGGGCATGACGAAATCCGTCATAGTGCTGGAGAATGTGATTAAGGGCAAGTTGGGTTTGTTCCAGCTGGTGAAGAAGATCTGGTCAATAAGCTGGATCAAAAACGATTGCTTCCACTTTACAAACAATGTTGTGGTAGCTATAATTTACCTCTACCAAATAGGCGTTGGTTGCTTGCGAGTTTGACATGGAGGAATTACATTTAGCAATTCAGCTTGAAGAGCTCACGTTTTTAAGCATTTTAGTATTCCGAATAGGGTTCACCATTTCCGCGATAATCCGGGTTTGACAGCCAGATTAATGACTGACATTTCATATTGTTGATCAATGCTTAGAGTATACTAAGATTAAGTTGGACAATACGAATGGTTAACAAAAAATGAATTTTATTCAAAGGTAATTCTGATATATTGATTGAGCCTGTCTTATCAAATTACACGAAGACTGTGTCCTGCAAACTTCGGAATGAAGAGTTGCGGAATATCCCAGACAATAAAATTATCTCTTTAATTAGGAAGAACATTCTTCTCGAATTCACCCAAATAGTTTCCAGGAGGAGCGTAGGAGCAGGTGTAAATGGGAGCATTGCCTTGGTTACTGCACTTCTTTACACCACAGCCAATCTGTGTAGTGGAGACCCAGACAACCTTTGATAAAAAGTAAACAGCGTTAAATTACAAATTAATTTTTTTAGGGCGTGTGTGAGATTTAGCTTACCTGAGTGAAATGCCCGGTGGATGAACTAAAACCAGGTTTACTGTAATCATAGTTCTTTTCCTCATTGTACCAAGCGCTAACAACGGACTTCCAGTCGCCATAGCCCATGGCCAAATTCTCTCCGTATGGACCTCCAGAATGCTGGAAAACGCAGCCATCGGACCACTTTTGAGCGTAGCTAGCAAGAGTGCTATTCCATTTCAGCGCTGGTGCTGAATGCTTCGCTCTGTATGCGTTGTGAGCTGATAAGATAGTGCTTTCATCAGAAGATGTCGACCCGCTGGTAGCAGCTTTTGTGACGGTCTTGGCTGTTGTATGCTTCTTTGTGATTTTTTTGGTTGATCTCTTTGTGGTTTTTTTGGTGGTAGTATGAGCAGACTTCTTGCTAGCCTTTTTGGTGGCCGCCTTCTTGGTGGCCGCCTTCTTGGTGGTATGTGTAGTATGCTTTGCAGAGCTTCTCTTGTGAGGAGCACTATGGTGTTCGCGTGCTTGATGATGGTGTTCGGGTGTGGGATGATGCTTGTGAGAGTGTGCAACACTGGCATTATGGTGGTTTGACTTGGTGGTAGCAGCATCAGCTGTCTGCGAAGCCAGCGCAGTAACAGCTAGAGTGAGTCCAATGAAAGAAAGAGAAACCATTGTTCTTAGTAGCTTGGGGAAATGAATGGAATTGGTAAGATGAGGTGATGAATAAGAGCAGACTAGCCAACTGAAGTTATTCAAGTGGTTACCAGTTATACAACTTTTTATACTTGAGATGAGTGAAAGGCCTGGGATAAAAAGTCTGTGCTACGATAATCTGATTTAATGTTCCACGCAATTTATAGACACAGAAAAAATATTGCTGAGAATGAAGGCATGTCATAGTTACATTGAAAAATCTGGCACTTGTTGGATATTCTAAGCATCTTGGAAGGTGCTAAAGCTTAGAAAATACTGCATGTTGCCTACATATCAGCATCAAACACATGATTATTATAGGTTATTGCGTTGACAGCTGTGGACAAATCCCACGAGTGCGGGCATCAGGTACGAAGAACCTCAGGCAAATGCAGAAACAAATTTCAATACAATTTGTCTCACAGAGCGACGACCTGGATTGTGGGTAACCAAGCGGGGATGTGCCCAGTTGATAATTCTGTTACTATAAGGGTACGACGACCAACATCATGCAATGTACATCATTGATTCTCAATTAAATTGAATTATCAGGAAAGCAGACTTGGTAGCTTGTGAGACAGTATGATCAGCAGCTTTCCATCTGCTGACACACTTTCGCTGTAATCCCACATCATGTAAAAAGATATGGTCTTTTGATTACAACTCTACTACACCCCTGTAGTTGGAAATTTTACTATGGCTGTAGTAAAATGTAATCTTAACTGACGACATTTTGATGAGGTTAGACTTTTTTTAACCATGTTATCTGGTGGGATTGGTCTGCTTTTAATCTCTTTGCATGGCCCAAGTGTAAGTTACGCGTATGTTGCTGTACGAAATAGCAGCCTTTGATCTCAGATTTGACTTTGGGTCTATGCAATTATATCATCTTTTGTCAGGGTATGCACAAGGACTATGCCCACTTCGTATCATCTGTAATATCTCAGAAGCAACAACGACTGTATAAGTTGTTGGTATGACTGGCATGGGACTGACATCATTATCATCTGCATCATTTTTCCATTGAGCTTCTCCCTGCACTATAGTTTATCAAAAGGCTTGTGGTATATCTCAGTGCTAGCCAAAAAAGTTCCAACACCATAGCTGTGCATAGCATGGTCAAGGAGTATATCTGACGAAAGGACACAACGATGAAAGGATCTCTGAACTTGCTTTTTTTTTCCTTTCAAATCACATGAGATGCAGAGTATGCAGGAACAACTTTATAAGGCTCAATCTACATGTTATTGGCGTATCACTCTTTATTGCAGAGCCATTGAGATTTGGTTGAAGAGAAGATCCTGGTCATGTGCCAGGATTGCTTCTGAATGCTGGTCATTACTGCGGTTCAGATGGAATACAGCTGAGTGACACCTAACATAGTTGACGCGTGCAAAATTCGACATAATCTACGCCCAGCTGTTGTTTGTGGGCGGTTGTACCGGTGATCCCCATCTTCACTTCCAGAGACGCACTAGCAACTTGACAGCATGGTAATATTTTTTGACATAGTATTAGCTATGGATATATGAAGTGGACTGCTCTCCCCACATCCTACGCCCTTTTGGATCATCTCTCCAATGCATAGAAGCAGGAAGTACAGAGTTGATCACGGCGTGCGCAGGTGATATGTACCAGTCAGCATTGTCATCGCCTTCTTATCCTCATCAGATAGTGTGCTCAGTAGTATCAACTGTTATTATGCTTTAATCCTGTGTAGTATTGGTACAGAGTCGAATTTATTAGAATTAACGACGTTTTACACGTTATCATCCTTCACAACATCATAGAGTACATAAAAATGAAGGCTTTAACGGTTTGAGGGCATTTCCTCTTGATATATGGTAAGGAAGAAACTTTTACAAGTTTAGTTTCGAATAAAATGTGATACTTCGAGTACGTACGCCCCATGAAGGTCTGCTTCTCGACTGCGGTGCAGAATGTAAGTGTTAATTTTATTTTTTATATTCATTTTTTTAAAAAGGAAGGGGAGGACAACAGCGAACCATTGACCTCCCCAAAGCAAAAATTGCCCAGCCGAGACGCCCGTTAGGACGTTCGAAGCCGGGCCCTCCAGCGGGAGTGCAATGCCAGAAGGCCCAGCCCCGCAATCAGCGTTCTTGATCACCAATTGCGCCTGGCAGGTAAGTATGCAGAACCATCATTCAAAAGCGAGGCGTTTATATACTTTTTAGTAACGTGACTGCTTCAAAAATTTTGATAAAACTGTCACGACATGCAAAATGTTTAAAGTCCGGTGCTTTCTTAGTAACAAGGGGCTACCAAAGAAACCGTTGGTCATATAATCAACAGAAAAATAAAGACTATAACGTGTTACAATAATATGGTCAGCATTAGTGCCTTAAAAACAACATCAGAGGCTTGTACCATCACGCAAATCTAGGTAGCTTGAAACGATACCGCAGGTAGTTTCCGCTGTGGAATTAACTATGGGTGAACTGCCGAGCACACTGATAATAAATGTAGGAAATAGATGGCTACATCGTATCATGGTAACATTTGGTGTTTGATATTACCTGCATCTGTTATAGTAATAGTTAAGCTGTATTGCTATGGACTTGGGATAAACTCCAGTAAAATGCCGTTCATATTCCCCTCCGTCTTTTTTGGGGAGGGGCTTAAAACCGCCTTGGCAACTACGCGAAGACTTTGGAAAAAATACATCTTAACACGTTCTCGTTTATCCATGCTTATTTCCACTGCATTATTTGCTGTGCTCAGCCTAGTTTCAATAGTGTAAGTTTGAAGACACTATAGAGCACATATACGTGCACTAATTCTTATGTAGGTGCGTATTTCACGACGTTGTCAACAATCTGGAAATGAACAGGCCATACTTTTAGAACCTAAGTATTTCTCAACCTCATGGAATTAGAGCTCAATCTTTCGGGGGTCGAAAAAAAATGGCTTGATTTCACATTTTGTAAGCGGTTTGCATCAAAGCATTCGAACTAAAATGCACGTGACTTTCAAGTAGAGACACTAGGGCCTATTTACTCAAAGAGTCCAGAAGTTGCTACACTTGTATGCCATGACAGAGTTTTGCGTTGAGTATAGTATCCATGCCTGTTCGTTTCTAATCCAGTCCGAGCCTTCGGACAAGGGTGCGGAGACAATGGGGTTAATTTTTGCACCCTGCGTCATTTCCGGTAGTCATAAAATTTTCTGTTTTTCGTTACACTCACTGAGTCTTCTTTGTCTTTATCTTTATCAATATGCCGCTCCAGAAACTTCCCACGGCTAGCAACGTTCAAAAAGTGATCAAAAACTTGAACAAGAACGATGGTATCATTTACTTGAAGGGACAAGTGCTCCACGAACGAGACGATACCGACGTTGAGCTTTCATTCCGCCAAGAATCCAACTTCTTTTACCTCACTGGTAAGTTTTAGCACTCATCTAGCGACGAAAACATGGTTGGCTTACACTCAGCACATCGTAGGCGTTACGGATGCTGATTTCCATGTTGTTGTCAGCTTGTCTACTGGCAAGATTACTTTGATTGCTCCTGACATTGTCGCTGATCATGTTATGTGGATGGGTTTGCCCGATACGCCGGAGGAACTCCTGCAAAAATACGACGTCAATGAGGTTGTGTATGCTAGCAAGCTTGATCAAGTTCTGCAGCAGGAGAATCCTCAGAAGATTTACACACTTCCCATTTGCGATACCTCAGCAATTCCCCAAAACTTCCAAAGCAAGGTTGATAAGGATGCATTGAAGCCCGCCATCTACGAAGCACGTATGTACAAGGCTAAGTGGGAAGTGGAGCTTATGAGAGAAGCCAACAAAATTTCTTCTGATGCTCACATCAAGCTGATGAAGGAGGCTAAAGCTGGGTTGAACGAGCAGCAACTCCATGCTCTTTTCTTGTACGAAAGCGCTCGCAATGGCGCTTTCATCCAATCTTACAACCCTATCGTCGCCGCTGGCTCAAACGCTGCTACTCTTCACTACGGAAAGAACAATGCCGGGATCTCTCCTGATCAGTTCGTACTCATTGATGCAGGTGCTGAGCTCAACTGCTATGCCTCCGATATCACTCGCACATTCCCCGCTGGAGGCAAGTTTTCCCAAGAACAAAAGGACATATATGAGATTGTTTTGGAAATGCAAAAGGCATCATTCGAACTTTGCAAACCTGGTGTTGAATGGGAGGATATCCACCGCCATGCTCTTCGTGTTGCCTGCCGTGGATTAATCAAGCTCGGAGTTTTGAAGGGTGATGAGGACGAACTTATCGCCAAGCATATCCCCGCATGCATATTCCCTCACGGTCTCGGTCACAGCATTGGTATCGATGTCCATGATGTTGGTGGCTATCTCCCTGGTGTGCAAAAGATTGATGAGCCTGGTATTAGAAATCTTCGCATGCGCCGCACACTTCAAGCTGGCATGGCCGTCACCGTCGAGCCTGGTATTTACTTTTGTGATTTCATCATTGATCCTTTGTTGAAGGACGAAGCAACTCGCAAGTACTTTGACATTGAGAAATTGAACCAGTACAAGAAGGTCGGAGGTGTTCGCATAGAAGACGATATTGTCATTACCGAGACCGGCTTTGACAACTTGACCACAGTGCCAAAGGAGATCCGTGAAATAGAAGCCTTGATGGCCTAAGCTATATCTACCATTGTGTCGATGATGCCCAAGCAATTTTTTTTTTTTCATGTTTATTTGTATATTTATTTTATCCTTATGTCGAGTACAGATTGATTCAAAACTAAAAAAAAAAGAAAGAAATGGCATGCAATTATCGTACACCGCTGATTTTGTGACAGAATATAAAAAGAAGACCAACCATCAGAGGAAATGAATTTGAAAGAAAAAGAGTATGAAAGCGAGAAGAGCTAAAAAAAAACAACCTACTATGACAGGAAAAGAAGAAAGAAAAGATCAGAAAAAAAAATTGTAGCTCGCAAAGAACCTCTTTGGGACCATAGCAAATCGTCGATAGCTATGACCGAAAGTACCTCACCCAAGAGTCAGTCATGGAAGGAGATAAATTATAATAAGAAAGAGAAAGAAAAATGTGAGGAAGAAAATGTATGGCTACAGGAACATGAAAATATGGATGATGGTATGTGGAATAAGAGCGTGGAAAGTTTGTAAGATGTCGATTGCTTTTTACCATGCCTGCGATGAGGTGTTTTCAGGTGGAATAAGTAGGGTAAGTGAATACTGATAGGTGTTGCCTTCAGATGATTGCTCACTCCAACTGTGTTGTGTATAGCTGTGTTGTAGTAGGATGGGTGTGTGTGTGTGAAGAGAGCTGGGTGGTTGTTTGTTATTGATTCTGGTGGGCGTTCTTTTTTTGTTCATCAGAACCAACGTTGTTAGACCCAAATGGCCCAACTGCTGTGACAATAAAGTTCCTCTCTTGCTTTGCGACGTTTACATGTATGGGAACATTTGTTCATTCATCCCAACCATGCCCATGTTGCCGTAGTTGAAGGGGAATCCCAAAACGGGCAAGCCATTATTATTCTGCATATTTTGCATTTGTACATTGTCTCGGTTGTTGATATTGCCAAACTTTTTGTACACATTACCCTGTTGTTGCTGCTGATGCTGCTGCTGTTGATCACGTTGCTGTTGATCACGCTGCAATTTGCCTTGAATTCGTTTGCCGTATGGAGTATTTCGAATACTGGGTAAGATCGGCCGTATACAGTCAACAAGCTTTAAGGAGACATAAGGACTGTTTAGTAGGAGACGATACTATCGTATAGCTAGACTGGGAAACATACCTTCACGCGCTGATCGGGGTCGGCGTAATCTAGCGATGTCTGAACGACATAGTTTGCAAATGAATCTCGAAGAAGCTTTTCTAAAGCATCCTTGTCCAGCATTTCTTCGATCAAACACTTTCGTGTGTCAGGTTCGGAGACGCGAATACACTGTTGATATATTGGGTTAATATCGTTGATTTAACACTGTTCTCCACTCATCCATACAGTGAATGCCATACCTTTTCGATAACGTTGGAGCTGAATTTTTGAACGGATAAGGTACATACGTTGCCAATGAATCGTCGAATAAGAGCGTCTGAAAAGGCAGCGTCTCCCAAATCCAAAACATACTGCACAACGTAGTTTCCAAAAGGATCCTGTACCAGAGGCAAAGCATGGTGGGTGACCTCTGTAACAATTTGTGCACGCTGCGAGATGCTAGCATGATCTATACAACGCTGCAGCACGCAGCAACCGTGACGATGAGTAGCAACTTCAACACAGTGACGGCTAACCGCATCGTAGATGAACTGATTGTCAGTGGCATTGAGTCTATGTAAGCACTTTTGGATAACGTGGTTGCCGTTCAAATCTTTGATCAGAGTAACAACATTGGGAGTCAATGCAACTATAATCATGCGTATCTGAAGGGAAGAGGAAAGCATTAGCAATGGCAAATATAGGTACCCAGTACACATCTTGGCATATTTACCTGTCTAGAAGTAGATAGAGACTCGATCATTTTTTGCACTGCTCTTGTCCCATGCATATTGAGGGAGATTCCAACCAAGTCTTTCGCTACAGTTTCAACGATGATAGTTCTCTGTTCATCGTTACAATAGTCAAGCAACTTTTGACACAAATAGTTTCCAAATGGGTCTATAGTCGTCGAAAGGATCCGTAAGTATCGTTGGTGAACAGCCAGAAACCTATGCACACATTATCATTGTAAATCATTTACCTGTCATGAGCTCTACAAAATGCTTAAAGACCTCGTTGAATATGATGTTGAGGTTTTCTTCGTTTTGCTCTTCCAACTTCTTTTGAAGATATCGGCACCCATGCTGATCTTTGCACAACTCATAAATCTTGCCAGTCAGATCCTTGAGTTCCACATTGGCAAACCGATTACTTTGATCATGTTCAGCGCTACCTCTTCTGGAGTACATATTATTGTCTGATTTGTGGTGCCCAAGAGAACCGGGCTGAGGAGCATAACGGGAATTGCCAGCGTTGTTCACGTGAGGACCAGGCTTTGGAAAAGGGTGGACAAGCGCAGGATTAGGAGTGTTATTGGGGTTGAAAGCAATGCCAGTAGGATATTGTTGATACAATGCGTTGATAGGTAATCCCCCAGCGTATCCCATGGGTCCTAATTGTCCTGCGGCGGCAGCCATGGCAACATGATGTTGTGTTCCTGGCATACCGCCAGATGTAGCAACCGATAGTGCAGGGCTGAAATTCATAGCAGATGCATTCGTGTGGAGATATGGACATTGGTCTCCGCGAGGACAATAGCCTTGCTGATGCTGCCTACAAATGTTTGCTGAAAGGTCCACAGGGTTGTCTCCAGCCAGATTATCATACATAGCCAACGCATTGCTAGCAGGAACCCGATTGCTGTTCCCTGTTTGTAAATCGCTAGTTGATCGGGCGGTGTTGAGTTTGGAACGAATTTGAAATCCATCGGAAAACGGATCCAAGCTCGTTTGCGAAAAGGATCGGTTGTTGTTCAGCCCCGCAGAAGGTCGACGACCATAAAAGGCTGCCTGTGCACTAGAAGCTGGTGCACGATCCTCAGCAAGATTGTTTGTCAAACTGGGCATGTGCGATTGCTGCTGAACGACGTCTGAGTTCAGCCAGTCAGCCCGTCTCTGCAGTGGTTCAACGTTGCGGTTTGGGTGAGATTGTTGGTTCTGACGCTGTTAAAGAAATCGTTAATAACGATTGCCATGAAGCATCCCTTTTTTCAAGTATTCTAGCTTACCAAGTTGTAGCCTTCATGAGGGGTGAACGAGTAATTATCAGCATTATCTCCATATTGAGTAATATATGTCGTGTCAGAATATGGTGGTACCATGCCTATAATGAAATCATTTTTGGGTCAATACGAGAAGTCATAGCTGCTGCCCGCACGTTTTGAGACAGTGATGGCTACCTGAAGTCGTTTTCGTTTGGTGATCATCATCATCAAAAAGAAAACCAGAGAAAGAAGATGTTGCATGTTGTTGTGGGTTACCAGCAGCAGCAGGAACGGGCTTGTAACCAGCATGCTGCAAATTGTTGACGTCAGCCGTCATGGAGCGATTGGGCATCTTGTTAAGTAAACGTCCTGGCGACTTTCTCATCGAGAACGGGATATTGCTAGATTGGGTGATCAGATTAGTGTTTTGATCACTGAGGCACTTCACAGTACATGTTGCCTCCAATAAAACCAGACTACATACCTTTGTTCATTGTCAGATAACTTCAGCTTGTTACCAAAATCCAGGACGTTAGTGTCATCCTCGCTCTCAGAATTACGGCGCGACCCTGGTAAAGAACGAGACGAAGGTGATGATTTCAAAGTCGGATTGTTGTTCGGCGGTGAAATGGGACCTAAAGCAGAGTTTTTCAATAGGTCTTTTTCGTCTTGACGCTGTTGCAGGTCAAGACGTTTCAAGTCATCAAACATTTGTAGCTGTTGAATACGCTGCATTTCTTGGTCCATCGTCTGTTGCTCCATCTAAATAGACAAGGGGAGAGGGAGAAATCGGTCCAAGGAGATCAGGAGGGGAAGAAAATATAACAAACGTTAGTCATTTTCTCTCTTGTTCAGATAAAGACATAAAGTAGTAAGTGGACGTCGCCACGATATCACAACGTAGAAGCTCATAGCATCCACATAGTCGTTCTCATTGGCTTCGTACAAAATAACTATGACGAAGATTCAAAATAAAATGGGAACTTACCGATGTGTTCTTAGCTTCAGCTTCTGACGTGCTGACGGAAGCAGCATTGTTGCTCCGGTTATCTTCCATTTGTTGGTGGTGTTGAAATAGAGGGTACTTAAATGTTGACATGCTTTGTTATGACGTGGTGCTACAGTATTTTTGAGATAATGTACAAAAAAAAAGTTGAATCTACAATCGAATCAGAAAAGTTCTGTCAGTAATTTAGAAGAGCTAATGGCAGGACGATAAAAATAAAAAGTCAGGTGTACAAACCCAGAAGAATTTAGCGTTTCTGGTCAACGCAGCGAATTATACGATAGTATGTGGGTGATGTTGTTATTGATCAAAGGCTGCGTTAAAGCCAAAGTTGGGCGTTTGCTGGAGTAAAGGATTGCCTTTGACAATTTTGTTGGTGAGCGCGAATTTCAATTCTTTCATAAGCGTGACTGTGAAAGAGTTTGCGATTTGGGAGGTTTTGCCAGCAAATCCAAAAAAAAAAAATCAAAATAAAGAAAATAAGCAAGATAATGTAAGCAAGAGAATGGAAGCACTGCTAAACCGTAATAGTGGGATTGAAAGAGAATCAAAGGTCATAGTAAGGAAGATATGCAGGCTACAGTATTCTTCTCAGGAAACAAAGCGGCTTTTGCTTGGACTTGACAGCCAATGACCGAGTTCTAATCTTTGTCATGCCTTGATCAAAATTGGACCTAATGAAGTACGAAAAAAATCGATCATTTTAAACAAGACGATGGAAACTCAATAGCCGCGTGTTACATCGACAAAGACTCTATGGAAGTCTCCGGTCATAATGCAAATACCCGGAAAAACCATATTAGGACGCAGCACGACGCAATGGCGGCATTACCCGTACAGACGTTCTCATTTCTATTGTTATTTTTTATATTGAGTTTTTCATTGTAAATTAAAATGAAAGAAGGGAAGCTTATTTCTGTTTTTGATGGACTTTGGCCTTCCACATCTCGTATTCCCATTTGGCTACATTATCTATTGCTCTTGCATCTCTCAAATAAATAGCTTGAGATATAGGAAGACTAATTAGCCAATCGATCAGTCCCAACGACCTAACATATTCTGTCAGGCCGAACCAGAACACGCTGTAAGCTATTCCTATGCTACTACCGACCAGCACCTGTTCTATACTATGGTAGCCTAAATGGATCCGCGAGTACATGACCAGGAGAGCCAATATAACAGTGGGCAGATAAAGCAGCCATTTTACCAAAGGATGATCTAGTCGTATGTTGTAATGAGTGTAAAGGATGACCTGGACAGCGAAGAAAGCCATGAACTGAGAGTGTGAAGAGGGCATGCCATATCCGGTACCTAGATGAGCTATAGAATGAAATCGGGGAAAATATTCAGCGTATGACGATGACATACAGCTACTTCAAGTAAATTTTTGTTTACCATTTGGACGAGACACTTGAAGATATTCTTTGAGGGTCGCATTGAGGCCTTCACTAGACAACTGGCCGACCAGGAAGAGAATAGCTGCCACTTCGCGTCTTGAAACAATAATCGATGCATAAAATACCAGTATAGCCAGTGGAGCTAGAGTTATATAAGCCAAAGCTTCTCCGAGTAGATCGTTTGGATGAAATTGTACATGAGTTAATGAGAGGGATGTCAATGGAATGCCGGTCATGGTTGAATAAGCGGGACCTGACGTGGAGTGAGAGAGATGTCCGGGAGAGGGAAGTCCCAATCAGAGTACAAATTGTGGGCAGTCCCCGCTCCAGGCAGTATTTCGGTCAGTCCTCCAAAGCTTCCCTTCTTTTTATCCCCCCTCTCAGTTAAAGTAACCTTGTTCCAAATTTCCCTTTCATCTTCTTCTCTTCATTGGAGATTTAACAAATTGGTCGCACTGTCCTTTGGCTGACAAGGCTCACGAATATTAGTTTCCCCATTTCAATCAGAAGGTAGGAACCCTAATCGGCTGAAATTGACTTTGGGAACACCCAATTTCCCATTGCCCTTGCCTTTGCAATTTTCCACCTCTCTAACTCCCAAGTTATCACATACAGTTCAGTGTCGTCTAAACGTTCATCCTGATTGCAATGACCTCTTCGGCACTGGCTGAGCAGCCATTTCCCTCCACCCCAGTGTCCATGTCGTTTGCTGTAACTCCGGAATTATCCCCGTTAACTACTGGACGAGGAGGATCAACATCGATTCCACTGACTCCCGAAATAGTAGAAGCTGGCTCACCAGCCATTTCTTCCAAGCGTGAGGATTTTCATAAACGATGGCAGCTTTTTGACGCTCGCATCGAACATCGTTTGGACGAGGTTTCGTCTCTGCTCAAGCCTTCAACTTATTACAGTGAGCCTACATATGCTACAAACTTGCCACTTCCTCATAGTACTAGCGCTGTCCCATTCACTGTGAGCGATGAGAATTGTCTCTCACTTGATGAATTGAAGCGTCTAAGTCGATCCAGCAAGCACTCTGAATCACTTTATCCAACGAAATCTCGTCAAGGACAGGCCAATTCGGATGGCGCTTCACAATCCAAGAAAATTACCCTTCGATCTGCCAAAGAGATTATGGCAGCTGACAAACGGTTAGTATTATGCCTTTGAAAAAGAGCTGGTAAACTTTATCGCTGAAACATGAGGCGCATCTTTTTAGTACCGGGACCAAAAGCAATGAAGAAAATGAATCCTCCAAGCCAAAAGCGAGTGGCAAAACTCCAGAGGGCCAAAGTGATGCTGATCATGAAGCATCTGCTATGCTGGAGATATTGAATGAAATCCAATCAGTAGGAAATTCCGCCGTTGGTGCCAATGGAAAGTCCGCCCCCGGTACTCAAAAGCCATCTGGCCTCGGATTAATGTCTTCAGTAGAAACTTCTACAAAGTCATCCTCAACCAAGGTTTCCACTCCCACCATGCCTTCTAGTTTCAAACGCAGTAAGACGTCATCTTCTGAAAAGTTAGCCCATGCGCCTACCCCTCAGTTGGGAAGCTATGGAAGCATGTCTCCTCGACTACCCAAAAAGGATCACTTAAAGTCGAACGATAACTCAAGCACTCGTTCGAAGCACTCACCTCCCAAAGGTGAACCTAAAATTGTAAGCTGAAAATACCCAATTCTCTAACCACCATGACCTAAAACTAATACAAAACGAAACAAAAAGGATTTTGCGTTACTTAAAACGCTTTTGAAGGATGAGACTCAACAAGACTGGTCACTTCCTGTGATGCATGGGAAGTCTGTGAAATCTCATGGTCCTAGATCTGCATCACCACCCCGTAATGGTGTCAAGTCTTCTAAAAGTGACACAAAACCGACTTTAAAGGCAGCCATGGCTGCAGTAGATACGCCTGGCAAACGAAAATCCTCCAAGGAAAACATATCCACAACGTGAGTTTTTTTAATAGTGAAACACAACAAATTTTTATGGCGCTGTGAAGATCAAAATATTAAAATGACTATCTATGGAACAGCTCACCAAAGGATAAGATGGATGGGCTACCACGGCCAATTCTGCGAGTTCATTTAGCTTTACTTCCTGACTTTAACCCTGCTTCAAATTCAAAACCAGATGAAGCAGGCGAGAGCTCAAAGCAAACAAGAGATACATCTCAACCATCGGCAACAAAGAAGCGGAAAGTGAAGGATGCAAAGAAAGAGGTGGCCGAACCCAATCATGCCAACAGTTCTATGGAGGTTGATCAAGGCGAGAGTGTTGAAATGCAAACGCAGTCTGTCAATGCCACCAAACACACCAGCCAAGACATTAATAATAATGAGGTCGAAGAAGGTGAAGCATTAAGCAATGGCAGTAGTCCAACGGTGGTGGCACCAGGCGAGAAGCCAACAGCGACTGGTCGCTCCGAAGCCAATTCACCTAAAGTGTCCTCGAGGACAAAGACATATCGATCTTCATCTACGTCAACATCTCCTGACCGCAAAGGTAGCTCCCGTAGCAAGGACCAACGCTCCAAATCTCCCAATCGCAGAGACAAACGAAGGCAGCGCAGTCGGTCATCAGAACGCAGGTCCAAACAAGACACTAGGGATAGTAGAAGCGGTAGCTATGATAGAGGTAGCAAGAGGAATAGACGACGGTCATCTTCGACGGTTCGTCGAAGGTCGCGTACACCTGAGCGACATCGATCTCGTTCATCAGGAAGACATAGGTCAAGATCCGTTGAACGACGCAGAGGTAGATCAAGGTCACGGTCATATGAGCGATATTCTCGATCCGGTTCACGAGATCGGAGACGAAGCGATAGCTCCGAGAAGTTATCGGATGACCGACGTACCGGCTCACTGAGGGACAAGGATCGACGAAGAGCAACGCAATCCCATCGTCGATCACGGTCTAGAGATTGGGAGCATGATGCTACCGAAACATCAGTATCCAGTAAACCACGCGAAGACTCGAAGCCCAGCACAAAAGATAGAAATAGAAACGTTGAACCAGCAGCTTCCAAAATAGGCTCTGGCTCAAAGCTGGCCACTTCTGCTAAGCCTTCTGCTATCAATTCGACAAAGACCACCACACCCTTAGCGCCTCGTAAGGATAATGTTGAGCAACTCAAGGTTTCCTCGTTTATGTGCGTATATGGCCATTTTCTTTTGGTTTTCTTACTGCCATACAGTGTGTACTAACCTTACTAATACGTCGTTCCGCAGGTTCCGAGAGTTGGCGCTACAGTACAAACGAAGCGCAGACCAATCTTGCCAAACCCAGGATGGAGAACCAGCTGGTATTGCAGAATACTTACACTCCATCTTCAACTATATTCTGTCATATCATTTCAATGACAAATTTGATACATCTGAGAATTCATTTGTTCGATGGGAAAATTTGCAGCCACTATTGAAGTTTGTATCGCAAACACTCAAGAAACGGGAAGAATGGCATTTATATGGCCTCTGGTGAGTAACAGGGCGGTTTTGACAGAAAGCAGCAGAATACCATTGACTGAACTTCTACTTTCTTTTGTTTTTTTACCCAAAAAAAAATAGCATGAAAGTGAACGCGTTGATCAATTTTAATGCATTCAGGATGAGACAAACGCCGGTTAGACGTTGTATGACCAAATTACACGAGTCTATCAAATCTCATTCGGAGGCAACTACAGCCATGTCATCCGAGTATATCCCTCAGGTGGAGAAGTTGTTGAACTTGCACGAACTTGCTAATGTTCAATGGGACGAAGGAGAAATGTATTTCGACTGGCATGCTTTCCAAGACCGGTTTCCAAAAACCTGGAAACAGGTTTGTGTTGATGGTGACTTTTCCAAAGGAACGGTGTTTGGCGAAGAGACGGCGGATATGAAGAGTCCCCTCTTCCCTATGACACCGTTTTCAAAATTAAACCATGTAGCGGTCATGGGTAAATGCATTGTTAGTGAATGGATCACCGCTCATAATATCCACTTTCAACCCATCAGCGACCCCACAGCTCTGTAGATATACCAATTCGATCCCACCCCTCCCCTGTTTCTTTGAAGGCTGCACCTTGTTTTGCGTGGTCGGTTCCGATTTTTGTTGTATTTATCTTCGTTTCCTTTCCTCCAACTTTTTAGGCTTCCCTTCAAGGAAAGGTGGACTATTTCCGTACTTATACCTCACAGCTTTTTTTGTAATTTTCTTTTTTTTCCCCTTGGGTTTGTCTACCGTTGCTACAATTTTTCTTCTTCAAAAAGCAAAAGGCATGGGAGGGCTTAAAGAGGCTCTTGTTATACCGAATGTCTTCCTGGCCATCACTTAATAAAAACGATGTGTAAGTCAATGACAAAGTTGTGTATACTTATTGAGCGGGGGATGGGTTTATGAGATAATGCAACAATTTACATTTTGAATTCAGATTAATTTTCTACAAGTACGGTTTCGCCAAAAGCAGTGGTAATAAACTGGCTTTTTCTATTGGCATCTACAGGCTGATGGTTAGCCTCACTTTCAAGCCATGCTTCTTTCAGCTTCTTTGGGGGATCCAAATAATGCTCATCTGACATCATGAAGGTTCCCCAGTGGATGCCGACGGAAAGAGTTGGCCGACCTAGATCGTTATGAGCTTTGACAGCTTCGTCGGGTCCCATATGAACATGCTTCATCAATCTTCGTGGTTCGTAACTACCGATAGGGAATGCTGCTAGGCTGAATGGAGCATACAATTTCCCAATGACTGAAAACAATTCATCCGAATAACCGGTATCACCACTACGGAAGACAATGAAAATGAGTCAAACAGAAGCATTTGATACGCAGCAGATCCAACAACCTACCAGAAGAAAAAGGACCCATTTGGTGACTTGACGACAAAACTGGACCAAAGAGATGTGTTTTTGTCGAATGGAATTCTCGATCCGCTCCAATGCTATAGATCAAGCAAAGCAATTAGTCCGCCGTTCATAGTTGACCAAGTTAATTTAATAGCAATTGATTGACGTACCATGGCTGGAACAGCAGCAATTACGACATCTGGTCGTTCTTTGTGATGGATTTCTTGCCACCAATCCAGTTCAATGACCTAACATTTAAATACCCCATTCTCATCAGTATTGTCTTCGGTAATCCTACTGATATTGATCGAAGAATACCTACATTTAAAACACCTCTTCTCACAAACCAATCTCGTAAGCCTAGAGGGATATACCAGGTGACCGTATTATTGAGTTCACGTACAACTTGTTCGTCTGAAACACGATTGAAGAATATTGTAAGTTAAACCTTCAACCCGCATTCGAAACATAAGGTCAAAGCCCTCTCACCAAGATGATCAAAATGATCGTGGGAAACCAGTACAATGTCGATGATGCCTTTGTAGTCTTTGATGCTACCTGGCACAGTTCTCAAACGCTTTGGTCCAACATAGTCGTTAACAGACCTTGCGCTGAAAACTGGATCCGTAAGGATGGTCAATCCGTCCAAAGTGACAATACATGTCGATTGCCTGTAAAAGTCATATGTAAATACAGTGTGCCATATCTGTACGTTCAGTAAAAGTAATCAATACATACCCGAACCAAGTGATTGTCGTTTTTCTCTGAGAAGTGGAGCTGCTATCTTTTTCCACTTCCACCCAAGATTCCGTCATCTGACGGCTACTGTCCTTTGCATTTGCCGCCTTTATGAGTTCCAGATCTGGAGTCTTGACAGGTAGTGCTTCTTCCAATTTCTGTTATACATATAGTGTGTTATAATTCATGTTTTACACTGTAGCAGATTTCAATTTTGCTTGTTTTTTTTGTATATAAAAGTGGAACAAGGGGTTTTACCTTTCGATCATACGGAATACCGTTTCCTTTCAAACGGGCAATCCAATGTACTATAGTTTCATACACAGTGACGTCTTGCCATTCTTCAAACGGATTTACATAGTGACCATTGTGCTGTTTGGTAAGGTAGAAACCGGTTTTTGTTTCGGTGGGAGAGAAACAAGCTCAGTTGGGTTGCTTTTTTTCAGGTACCACTTCTATAATGTAAGCAAACTAACCTTCATTGAAGCGAATCTGTCTTCCGGTCTCTTCATAGATTTGCGTTTTTGCAAATCCCTTCGTCTTTGAGCATTACGAAGTTCGGCGTCATGGGATGCAGACAGATAATAATAAATTAGAGAAGAGGTGGATAATGCGGCAATGAGAACGGGAACGGTATAGGGATGTTCAAAGGGTATAGGGAAGTTTGTGAATATTGAACGTCTCTGGGCTGCGAACTGAGGCATGAGGTAAAAAGAGCGAACAAACAACCACTGCCCTGTGTCTGCTTGTTGGACAGGCCCCAAAATGACTGGAAAAAAAAAAAATGTGACCATTGACGCTGTCAATTTTTTTTGTTTCGTCTGCTGGGTGGTCCAGTACTTTCTTTTTATTGGCTCATTGAATATTATCAAATTCATCACTAATACCAAAGTTTCGATTGAATTCTGATTTCTCAATACCGAACTTGTCAACACAATGAGACTGAATTGTAAAAATGTTGTCTATAGAACGGTTTGATTAATGGGTTTCCATCAGCTACGTATTGCGTCATACTATACAATCTTTCCATACCTGTCCAGCGATTTGCCGCTTCCTTAGCTGCACGAGCCGCTTTATCTGAGAGTAAAAACACACAAAAAATGGGTTAAACCTAATGCATGTCACTCAACTTATATCCAAGTAAGTACACATTACCTTTTGCACGTATTACTGCCGGATCACATTCTCGATAACGTAGTAATTCCTGTTCATTCTGCTCCTGTACTAGTCTTTCTTTATCCAGATGACTCAATATCTCGGTGCGCATGTCCTGGGGAATTCATCAATGATAGTCTTTGTGCTTTCCATTTTGGTTCTTTGACACTTACGCATGGTTCCCGACTCGACAATGCATTTGCTATATCACGGTCCAGAGCTGTATTCTTTCTTTCAAGTTCTGTAATAGCTTCCGCCAATTCATTGACTTTATTTCGTTTCTATTCGGGTGCTCAATGATTAGCGTATATTTCGATGAATGGCGGTTCTGGAGCACATACCGTTTGAGCCGCAGCAGATGGAAATGACCAGAAGTAATTTGAGCTACCAATTTTTTCCATATTTACAAGCCCATCGTCCACTAAACTTTGTAGGGTATCTTTGACAGACTGTACGACTGGGTGACGGTCGGTTAATTATCTCTCACGTCAAAAATGGTGCGGTTATTCATGAAGTACCTATTTGCCGTTTGGGTGCTATCTTTTCCAGTTCCTTCAGCTGGTAGAATTGTTTCTAATTATGCCAATATATGTAATTAAGTTAGATAGCACATTGTGTGGAGTTGAGACTCGCATAACTCACTGTTTCATGAAACAGACTCTCCAATCGTCGTCGTTTCTCATCAGCAGAAATTCCTCGAGGTGGCTAAGAAATGAGCATATTGAATAGACGATACTCGAAATTATTATACATTTGTGCCTGACTTTATACCATTATTTACAGGAACGGAATTATAAGCGATTGGTTTATGTTACAGAAAGGATTCGATCGACGTGCTTTACAGCGAAAGATATCGCGTTTTGGCGACAGTCACATTATGGCTTTCAGTTGGAGAGGGAGCGGAGTCACTTCGCCTTGGTATTCTTGCATCAATGTTTGAATTAACCCACGAAATAAATATCTATGTTCCTGTTTGAAAGTATGAGTACATGAGAAAAACGTTCAAAACATTTTCATTTCATCAGGACTTACGTTGTTGATGAATGTAATGGCCCAGCCTTGCTTACGGGTATGTTGCTTCGTTCCGTGTGCACCAGTCACCATAGCACGTCCAACCTGGTGTATGTATTCGTCTACAGTGTTTGCCATGTCGTAGTTTATCACCATTCTGACATTTAGTAAATCAATTCCACGAGCTAAAATTCCAGTAGAAACGACGATATCACATGTGGATTGCCGAACTTGCTGCAAAACCTCGTCACGCTCTGGTTGAGAAAGGTCACCATGCATAGCCAGTACATTGAATCCACACTTGGTTCGGATAGCTTGTGCAAGCAATTCAGTGGCAAGCTTGCTGTCGACAAATATCAGGATCGGCGGTTCATAATATTTCGGATCGCGCAAAATGGACATAAGCTGTTTGGATTTGGATTGATCTTCTACCCACATGATGGTCTGCTTGACATGCTTGTTCGGTTGAGCTTTCGTCCTACCAACATGCACAGTGATCGAATTACGGAGGTGCTTTCGACAGGCTCTTCGCATCACTTCTTCAGACTCCCAAGTAGCAGAGTAGAAACATGTTTGTCGGATACCAGGATCTACCAGTGAATTCAAAATTCGAGCAATTTGCTCATTGAAACCCATCTTGAACATGATGTCGACCTCGTCCATTATCATCATTTTGATGTTTTCAAGCTTCAGTACCGATTTATGATGGTTTAACAACTCTATCATGCGTCCAGGTGTAGCGACTAGAATTTGAACTCCTTGCTTCAAGCGATACACTTGATTGGGGATGGGATTACCACCGATGAGAAGAGCCGTTTTCATATGAGGCAACCCCGCTGCAAGTTGCTTCGCTACACTTTCGATTTGTGCGCATAGTTCTCTTGTAGGTGCAACAATCAACCCAAGTGGATGGGAATTCTGCCCGGTCCCGTACATTTTCGCTAATGATAGACAGTGTGTAATCATTGGCACTAAATACGACACTGTTTTGCCGCTGGATGTCGGAGCTGACACAAACATATCTCTTCCCGCTAATGCAACAGGTAGAGCTTGCATCTGAACAGATGTAGGTTTTGTAAATCCTGCTGCCCTGATGTTTTTTAATAAGGTCGCATCCAGTTGACAACTCTCAAATGTGGTTATAGGCCGAGGAACGTTTTGACCTTCCACTGTTATATCATGAGCAGATCTCATAGCCTCAATAGCTTTCGGGTGCAGCATAGAAACCTCTGGTGAGTCATGGTATGCTGTAAGTTTGGCGTGCACATTGGTAGCGATTGAATATTGCGGATATGCAATGCCTTGGCAAATGGGGTCATTTGTGGGGTTCCGAGCGTAATTAGCGATGTCTTTTATCTTGCATTCCATACTGCAAACATCACGTTCAGTAGTGTCGTTAATATATTCGCCATATCTGCCGCAAATTATGCACAAAGGTTCGCCATCCAAAGGAAATCGTTGTTCTATGCTGGCTTGTTTAATGGGTTCCTGATCTTCATCATCGCTTTGTTCGTCGTCATCAATTGTAGGATCGCTTGGTATTAAAGGCACCGCAATTCCGTGCTCTAAAGAATCGACTTCTATTTTTTGACTTGAATGCTCGTCTTTAATTTCCTTCTGCTGGTCCTCGTTATCTGCTACTGCCTTGTCTAGTTGGTTGCTTGCAATGTCTCCAGGAGAGGAATTAGGTGGTTCAGCGAAAGAAATAGGCTTAGCGTGCTTAATTGCGTCTGGAGAGTAAATCGCGTTGGAATGCTTTCGCTTCACACCCCTTGGGATGAACATGGACCGAAGTACAGGACAATTTTCGAGATCGTGGTTGATTCAGCAGTGAACAACTACTTTGCTCGGGGACCTTTTTTTTTAGTTGCAAGGAAAGTCGGAAGGGACCCCCTAATTTGTGACGTCGAAAATTTCAGACCTGTTTTGTCAACAAGCCTTTTCCAACAAAGAAGCACTTTCCTTTATCCTCTATCATTTCCCTGATCATGGTCAACGCATCTTTCGTTAATGTAAGCATTCTTCAGATACGTTTGTGTGTTTCAAAAATGGAATGTGTCCGGAATTCTGCTTTTGTTTTAGCAAAGAGAAAGTTGTCGCATCAACCCAATGGAAAAAACGAAAACAAAAAAATATTTATCCCCTTGTTCATTCAATAGGTCGGCCGCTGGTCAGCGCTCGGTCTGGGTGTCCTCTATGGTGTCGTCCACAACCGTTCGCTTCATAAGCTTGAAGCCGAGAACAAGGTTAAGCACGAATACGAGCGCAAGGAGCGACTTATCGAGCAAGCCAGAGAACAGTACGCGAAGCTCAACGCTGTTGCCGTCGACAGCTCAGGTAACTTTTTTTTTATATATATTTTGGTTTGGTGCATACATGTGCGAGATGGCATTGCGTTCTCATCATATGGTACTTTATTGCAGCTGTTGTCACCGATGTCGACAGCCCCAACTTCGACTTAGAGAAGTTCATTGCCCACTTGGAACAAGACAAGCAATAAACGCATTAACTTCGCTGATATTGGCGCAGGAACTACCTTGTCGTTAGACGGCACCGTTGAAGACGGTGTTTGCACCTCCTTTTTTTTTTCTTTCTTCAAAACCACCTATATCATTTCCATCGTTTAAAAAGTGCGATCCTGTCGCCAGGAGTGTCACCATTTTTGCTGGTATTGCCAAATTTTTTCCTAAATTTGTCTTGTCATCGTTTCCTTATAGACAGCTCTCCCGCAATGAAAATTGTAGATTACCTTACTAGCTCTGATATGCGTATCGCTACATGTTTGCATTTGATGTGATGGGAGTGACATAGGTGAATGTATTCCAGATATTTTATTCAACGACTTATACACAAACAAAATGTCATATGAATACAAACATTATTGTAATACTATAGAAAAGGGACAATGCACCTGTTCAGAACGCATCGAGATACATCATGGATTATAGGCTGTTCGTTGTCTCTTTATAGCATTTAATTAAGACATGTAAAATTAGTTTACACGTAATTAAGAAGCTTGCAACTGCCACCTTCGTAGATGTCGACCTTAGTCAAAGGATTGGCATGGTTGAGAGTGTTGTAGTTGTCCATGGAGTAGACATAAAAGTCAATGTGACGACCGTTGAAACTCCAGCTTTGATCATCAACAAGGAGACAACCATTGTGGGGATATTTGGCACCGGGAAGCTTCCAGCCAACAAGGGATGGAACATAGATCTTGCTATGCTTGGGAAGATCGTTGGAAGCGATGGTAATGTAAGGTCTCAAAGCAGTGTCGTAAGCAGTCAAGCCATATGGGTCGCTGCTTTTGTCGAGAACTTCAAAGCACTTGTAACCGTTGCAGGAGCAGCCACCGAGATTAATAACCTTGTTGCCAACTTGGCCAGTTCCTTCCATGACGAGAGCATCAGCGTATGATTGCTGAACCTTGGCGATGGTCTTTCCAGCACAGGTCTTGACTTCGACCATCTTGCCGCCGCTGTAGTCCTTGGAATGGGCAATCCAGTAGTAGGTGAATGCACTAGACTTTTGAAGCAACTTGCGTTGTTCCTTAGAGTGCTGGACGGTCTTCTTAGAACCGAGGAGACCGGAATTATCATGGCTAGCAACAGTAGGCTTAGCCTCCTCAGTAGTGGTAGTAGGAGTCACCTTGGCAACTTTCTTAGCTCTAGTATGTTGAGCATGGCGAGACTTCTTGGAAGATGTAGGCTTACTAACAATGCCAAATGCCTGGACAGCCTTAGAAGAACCACTGACAGCGACACAGCTGTTGGTAGATTAAGGTGTCAGTTATAATGTCTAAAGATCCATTAGAAAGATACTTGGACAACCTACTATTTCTTTCCGTTATCAAGATTATCGCAGGTTCCTCTGTGGACCTTGGGGTTCCATTCATAGAATTCGCTGAGAGTAATACCGTATTTCTTCGCAACAGAGATACAATTGTCAGAGCCAGAAACTGGGTTGTCAGGGTTAGATTCAAGTGATCAATGGAGTATATCTGAGGAGCCAATTTATGAAGATAATTTACCTGAATGCTCAGCGGTACAAGTCACAGCAGGTGCACTCTTAGCAACACAGCTGATGATATGATGCAATTAGAATCAATTTCATTATATCAGTGGTGTTTCAACTTTGTTTGGGATATTTACTAGGATTTTCCGGTGAGAAGGTTGGAGCAATGCTTGTTGACACTGGGGTTAAGAGCATAGAATTCGGTCAAGGAAAGACCGAATTTTTTGGCAACCTTAATGCAGTTGTCCACATCCTTGACTGGAAGCAGAAATGAACAGTGGTCAATAATGTATGGTCAATGAAACGAATTTTTTTTATATAAAAAATACAGGATTAAATAGATGTTCAAAATCGAGTCCCTACCTTTATATGTCTTGGAGCAAGAGGCATTGCGCTTGGTCAAAAAAGAGTCACGCTTGTCGAGGCTGCGAGAGTCAAGAACTGTATCGTCTTCATCAACGAGTTCGAAGTCGTCATCTTCTTCGGGTTCGTTGGCATACAGATCATAGTAATTGGGGCGAGGGGCAGCTCTTTCTGCGAGAGCTCTGGCCTTCACGGGCTCAGCTACAGCCAGCTGCAAGTTGCACAAGGCCATCAAGCCAGCAACAGTGGTTGCGATAATAGTTGTTTTGAATACCATGGCTAGGGTTTAGGAGAGAGATTGAGTAGGAATTGAGCAGTTAAATTGAACGAGTTCGAACTAAAAATTCAGAACAGATAAGTAGGGCCTGGAAAAAGAAAGGATGTGGGGAGACGTTCAACGTCGGTTGTAACGAATCTCAAGGAATGGAAGTGGGGGTAGGGAAGGTGGCAGGAAAGGGTCCTTAAAGGAAGAACAGTGAAAAGGAAGAGGATAAGTCAGGGCGACAAAAGCTTAAATGACAGTAATATATACGTTGAACGAAGGTGTTTCAAGCGCACAACAACCTGACACCAACTGTTAGATTGAAAAACCATTGGTTTACCTTCGTCCGCAAAAGGCATTCGCGAAGGTGATACTTTTCAATGTCCCACAAGGTTAGAGGCTAGTGGTTGCACTCAGACTATATTCCCAACTTTCCAATCGACTCAATAAGGAAGACTGAGTATTGATCTGTACTTTGTATGGTGCTGACGCTACACAAGAAAATTATAATTCCTGTGGGTATAGTGGTCAATTCGCGATTCTATGAAAACTGCTGTTTCTATCAGATAACCAACAACGTACAGCCGGTCATTCAACTCATTCCAGTACTTTGCATCAGTGGCAAAAAAATGCGTGGCAATTTCAAGTGCCTCTTGCTTTTCGATCGACAAAAGCCTACTTCTTCTCAGGTGACATGCCTGATTCTCAATTTCAACCCTCAAGTACCATACCAGTTACTGCTAGATGCTTGCTGCTGTTAATGCAGATACGTTACACCAGTTCCTCAAATCGCTCATCCTTCATTTCCATCCAGTGAATTCTCATATCCACTCTTACCTCTTCTGAGTGGTGATCAGATCGGACGACACTTCCTCTATACAGTTCGCAGAAGCCATGACATTGCCTATCCAATTCATTTCTTCAATCCTATTTATCATTGAACTCGAGTAGATTCCATTGTACGTAATTCAATTTGTAGAGTATGCAGCACGATACCAATATGCATGTGGGCTAGCCGAAAGTATAGGATTAGTGTACTGTTACGCATTTCCGTGCTTTCTCTCTCGCTTGGGGTTCCTGAGCGAGTGAACGGGCAAACTTTTGATTACGTGTGTAACATCAGAAAATTTTGTGACCAACTGTGAACCTGCCACGCTGCGAGATCGCGACTTTCATTGCGGACAATGTCATGCCTTTTGGTATTCATTAGTGACATCTTCAATGCCATTCCACATAAAACAGACAGTGATAGTGGATTCCGTTTTGAGCTAGAACTTAATGATTCACCAAGTGTAGAGTTTCAAAATGTCAGGTACATGGAATTCCATGCTGGTCGTGTGGAGTATCAAGGTTATGAATCAAACATATTGGTGAGCTGAGTACTTACTTTATCTTTTTTTTTTATATAGAATTTGCGGCACCATAGTGGAAACAAAAGTATCACCTATTCCTGATGAATATCAAGTTTTCGACACAGAACAGGAGTCCATCGTCCCTACCGAGTTTACTATAGACGATGGAACCGCCACCATTAGCATTATTTGTCCTCCCCGAATTCGAAACCGAGGGGACGCTGAACTCCTTAAAGTAGGCAGTATAGTCACCGTAATTGGAAGGACACAAATTCAAAATGGTTGCAGATTAGTGCACTGTATAGGGTACAGTAATTTGCTTGCAGATCCACCCACGCGCCAGGGAACTTAAACCATTCTTATTGATTTTGCCTGCACCCTCCATTGACAGATTTAATATCCATGCTGATCCTACTCAAGAAGTCGTACATTCTCTGCGGGTCATGCAGATGAGAAAATTCCATTACAAATCGGTAAAGAAAGATCACATTTTTGCAAGCCAAGTGTCGGCTTCATCTCAAAGCTGTTCGCTTCGCCGGCGAGGTGTTCAGGTCATGCCAATTGCATCTCCTGCTAAGCCTCAAGACATGGATAGGAGTCTTACAGAACTCGGGTCTAAAAGAAAAGAACCTGCCACCGATGAAAACTACGATGACTCGTTCTTGGTGACGGAAGAATTGGATACTTTGATGAATCAAATCGACAAGAAGCCAAAACTCGAACCTAGCAGTGCTATCTCCGAAGATTATAACTTTGGCTACAGCTCGCAGGGACTACTTCCAGTCGGCAAAGATATAACTCAACAAATAATGAATATGATAAAGGAAGATGGCGCCACTCTGAAAGACTTTGTTCTGGCAGGTCTGGATTTTGAGCAGGTCGAGGACTTGCTCGCTTATTTGCTCAACACCGGTCAAATCTACGAAAGGGAGGGCCGCTATCACTTACTTTAGTACTCCCCAACCCATCTCATTGCCTAATGAACTTGCGCAACATTCAGCCACTGTACATAAGTATGACTCTACAGGTTTCTTTATATTCGGTTGTACATAACTTATTCAGGAAACACAGCTTCCACACCACATAGACAAGCCGTAGATTGACTAAAAGCTTTCCATATGCGAAATGATAGTGTAAAAATAATATATAAATTCTATGCTGTACAATGCAATGCGATGGGAGAAAATGCGAATAGAAAAATGCAAAAATGCGATGTGTCTTGGGATACGGACGTTTTAAGCTTGTGTTTCTGTGTGATTGTCGTCGCCACTCTCCTCGCTGTCTTCGTCGTCACTGTCACTGTCAGTCTCTTCCATGACTGGTCGATTATTGTTAACGAAAAGATCATCATCACTGTTCTCTTCGCTATCCGAGATTATATCGTTCGATCGAGAACTTGGTGTGGGGTTAGACTTGGTGTTGAATTCCTCCGGCCTGCGATCATAAATGTCAAAATCAAGTCAACTGGAATCGTTACGCTGTGATCTGCATTGACTTACCATTTGCCTTGAGCTCGTAGATCCTTGACATGCTCGGGGAAGAGAACATGCACGATTTCGCCGCCCATTTTGTCGCTGGAAGTTGCTTCGGGATCCAGAACAACATAGTGACCCCGTTTGACCCAGATCAAGTTGCGAAATCGTGGAGGCAAAACGGCGAGAGTAGTTTGACCATCTGCATATTGAACTTCGTGCATGTTTTTTCCTCTAGGACCTACTACACGTGCGATCACTTGACTTGATGTCAATTCCGGCGTTGATTCCGCTTGTCTGGTTGTCTGTTTCTTGCCCATTCGATCGACTTTGGAAAAAAGAAAAAATTGCTTGATCAAAGTATTGGTAAATTTCAGCTCATTACTGCTTTTATTTTCTTTGCAGATCACTCAAACAGTTTCATATGAGCAAGCCAAAAAAATATGCAGTGTTCATATCCCATACATCCAATCAAGGAATAATTGAATTCTATGTATTATGTGGCAGAAAAGCCTAGCAACTTCACTTGGTTGAACTGTACATAAGCAGCGAGCATGTTCATCTGCCAAGGTTGTAGGATATGTTTTATATCAACAGTAAGCAAGAACAATGCAGTAAGAAGATAACATATTTACAGAAGCACTGAGCCCCCCGGCCATATTTTAATAATAAAACTATCTACACCATTGAAGATTGTATGTCGTTTTCCTTCAGGTAAACCGGAAAGAGTGGAAAATCAATGCGTCTGTTGAAAGCGCAGCTTGACTGACCCAAGTTTATGGAGCAATATTGAAGTGCGCTTTCCATGCGATTGAGCCAGCCAGGTTTGTAAGATTCTACAGCTAAATCATTCCAGAGTCTGCAGTGGACGCCTTTGCCATTTCCTTCAATTGGAAAACTGTGCCTAATCGGGGCAAATGTAATTCGTCGAGCGCCGTTTTATGGCCAAGCTTGTGCAGCTCCACCTGTTCTCCCTTTTTCTTTTCGATGTTTAAGCAAGCTTCCCTCGCGGTATTGGTCGCCTTTTTATTCTTCACGCAATGTTTTGCTCAAACGAGCTTCTCCCTCACACCAGTTCCAACAGTATGTATTAAAGCATGTACTGCACCCGCTGTTGTTCCACAGTGCCCAGCATCATGTCCCAACAGCTGTACGTTTATCGTCAAAGACCCTTGTTGTCCGAACGTAAAGACTGGCGTATGCGATAACGTATCTTCTGGAACGACATTACCAAGTACTTCCATTATGTCGGGGACAACTGTTTCCATGCCTACTGGTAGCTCTATTATGACCACCGTCAGTTCTCCCACGGCCATGCCCACTGTAGTATCTTCGTCCATGAGCGGAGTCAGCCCCAGTAGCTCATCTGTTGCTGCTTCAGTTCCTACTATATCCAACTCTGCGAGCACGGCAGGCAAAATGATCGACGCAAAATTCGGTTTCTTGGCTTTCATAATCACCGTCCTGTGTTTATTCTAACGTAACCGCTATATTATCACACTGCATTAAATAAAAACAAAACGATAAAGTGAACCGTGCAATCTGCTTTGTGCTTCTTTCTTAAGCATCGATTGGGTACAAGGGTCTAATGTCGATGGGAATACCTAATCACGAAAAGTAGATTTCATTAGATACCGTAGTTACGCTGCAGCGTTGAGAGGGAGTGGATGCTTACCAGCTTCTTCAATGGCATCGAGTGTTCTCTTGGTCTCTGGATGGTTCTTTGCATATTTGTTGGCAAAATCTACCACCTTCGATTTGATGCCTTCTCCTTGCAAGATAAGAATATCGTGGGTGAGATCAGAAACGGCTTGTTCTATATGGTCAAAGTTGACTCTATAGCGGCCGTCAGAATCAATTTCGAAGCCTCCCTTCTCCAAAAGATAATTCAACTGCATTGCTTGACCTTTGCCATGTGCTTCCTGAATACCGAAACGAATGGAACGGAATGCGGATGCCAAGAAGGTTACCCAGAACTCTTCCTTACTGACATCGTCAATAGTGCCTTTTTCTACAAAAATGGAAGCTGCGAACAGGGCAGCAATATCTAGACACCAAACAAGCCGTTAGCGCATATTGCCGACACTTAGCCGATCGTCGTCATTTCATACCTGCTTTAGCTTCCTCAAATGCTGAGTGAAGTTCTTGCAAATGAGATCGCACTGTATCGCCTTCTTGTGTATGATGAGGTCCGTTGGAATGACTGACTTCATGCAAAAGTACGTGGGTGGTGAAGGCACGACTGACAACGTATTTTTGTTGATCCTCTGCAATCACCAATTTGGCAATAGGTGTCAAGACGTGCTTGAATTTGCCCTCCTGAGCATTCTTAATGAGAACTAGCTTGGATCCCGCTCGCTTGATAGCCTCTTCATCATTGGGGAGATTATAGGCGGCCGTAGTAGGAACAGCAACATCACCACCAGCATATAATTGGTTAACTACCACGATAGGTGCGGCCACGAGTTCCTTGTTCTTGTACTTATCAGGGATAGGAAGTTTATCTTCAACAAATTGAAGATCTGAAAACTTTTCTAATAATTTTGAGGAGTAAAAGTCTCTAACATGAACATAGGATTCGTAAGCAGCTCTCAGGGCAAAAAGTTCATCAGTATAATTTTCGTAAGGACCGATGGTGATTTCCAATGCCGAGTCCTTGCTGATATGCAACCAATCGACCTCTGAATCCAAATAATCGTTACTGGCGAATGCATCAGCACGGGATGTCAAAAACTTCTTGAGCGATTCATCCACCACCAACTCAGCGGCCTCCTTCAAATGACGTGCAGCTGACTCCAACAGATCCTTGTATTCTTCGGAATATGGAATAGTATGCAAGGTATCAGATTTGTCACGGCGAACTACGCTATAATAGCCCTTTGCTTCTTTACGTTCCTTAGGCCCAAGTGTCTCGACCCATTTTTCGAACTCTTGCGTAGTCATGTCTTCGGGATAGTAATTGGCACCTTCTGGTCTAGCTGGCACACCTTTTACAAATGGCGCATTATCATCCTCTTTCGCCTTAAGAAAGGGTTAATGATACAGGCGCGGTATCATTTAATTCGCGTTCGTTTGGACTTACCCATGGCCCCTTGTACATGTTGAAGAGAGTGAGAAGCTTCTCGTCTCCCAGCTCTTCCAATTTTTTCTTGAGCTGCTCGTTACCAGCCCATGCTTGACGAATATAAATCTTGTCAATGATCTTGGCAGCTTGAACCAGCGGTTTGATGGCGGCACGATCGCCCTCTTTTAATTCAGACAGATCGGCCGTGAATTCATAAGGGGTATATCGCTCCAAGCGCTTGTCAATTGGGAGAGATCCAACGAACATTGTGTGTAAATAACGGGGGTATTAGGAAACCGCCAGGGCGATGCGTGAGAAAAGTCCTGCAAACGCCGATGGAAAGTCACAACAGCAGGCTGTCGACGAAAGGTGGTACTCAACGCGTAAGTCGCCGATATCATTGTCTGCCGCGTGAACGTAAAAAGCAGGCAGGACCCCATTTTAATTTTCAAACTTTCAATTATTTTTTTTCTTTACTTTCCACACTCTTCCACTAGTGTTACAATTAAGGCGAAGTAGAAATGGTGGCGACCGCGCATACTTTCAAACTAGGCATGCTCCTTCTATAAAAGTACCTGAATTTCGGAAGAACCCTGTGGTACTTGCCTTGTCTATAACAAACCACGACCTGACAGACTTGGTTACATTGTTCTTTCGGAAGCGAAAAAATGGTGGCTGTATAACATTTGAATCTTAAATGGGCAATTTATCATGCTAGTCAAGGTTACCATGGTTCCGTCTTTAACGTTTCTTCTCTACACTTATGGGCAACGTAAACTCGGATCAAAAGAGTAAAGACGAAACCTGTTCAAAGGGTCGACGTATACCGTTCACAACTCGTCAGATACCGAAATATCTGAAGCCCACAAAGACGAAAGAGCGAAAGCGTGCGCCAAGCACAAGCAGTAAAAGCAAGAGCAGTAGCAAGGAAAAAGCTGTTCAGTTTGCTGACTTGACCAATGAGAAATACAATGACGATGAATCCCGGTTACCGAACTTGCTGATGACTGGTGTGTCAGAGGACAACAGCTACGATGCTGCACATTCTGCTAATTTCAAGTGGATCAAAGGTCGTCGCTTCACCGACACACAAGTAAGTTGTTGTCTTTCACGCTAAACCAACCAAATTAAACGCGGCGTACTAACTTCCAACCAGGGTAGTAGCTACCTCTTTCCCGTGGACAAGCCAGAGCAGGACCGTCAACGAATGCAAGCTTATGTCCTAAAGTGGGCTTTTGGCAGGTACAATAAAAAAATTAAAAAAAGAAAATTAAATTCACGCGCTAAACGAGAAGTAACGTTCCAAAATTTGAATTGACAGGAGCTTCCTTTCCCCCATTTCAAGCCTGCTGAAAAAAGGCTGTAAAGTCTTGGACATAGGGTAAGTTGCGTCTGGCGTTATCTTGTATGACCTCTCAAATTGTGGCTAACGCTTTTGTGGACTTCAGTTGTGGAGTTGGAGCCTGGGCCATTGACATAGCCTTAGATTATCATAAGACCAACGTGGTTGGCATAGACGTTGCGGATATCTTCTTATTACATCAAGGTACTCGGTTGGCTCCTCGACCTTACTCTGCTTCGTCTACATCTCTTCCGTCTGATAATCTATCGTCCAATGCGAAAAGCCTATCATCGGCGTCTCAAACCACGAGCGATAACTCTGAAGTTAGCAATATCCGGTTTGAAGAATGCAACGTCTTAAATGGAATATTATACCCCGACGATCATTTCCATTACATCCATCAAGCCCACATGGCATTTGCTTATACGAGGAGCCAGTGGAAGCAAGTGCTTAAAGAAGCCGTCCGAGTATTAGCTCCTGGTGGATATATTGAGCTGGTAGAAATAGAATTTCCCGGCCGGCGTTATGGGCCTAAAGCAATCCATGTATCTCAGAAGGCACTTGAAGTCGTCAGTGACCGAGGCTTTGATGCAGGGGTTGCGGCCGACCTGCAAGAATTATTAAGATGTTCGGGGATGACGGACATATCTGGATCCTATGTGTCAATGCCTGTGGGCGACTGGAGCCAAGAAGAAAACTATATTGGTGAGTGCCATTGGGAGCAGGTACACAATAGCGCGCGCTCTTCTGACTGGGTTTTGAATATTTTTTTTTTATAGGTAACCTTTGGCGCGAAAATTCTCAGATTTTTATCAACTCGGCGAAGCCGTGGCTAGCACCAGCACTTGGGTGGACAAGCCAAGAATATACTTCACTCTGGAATGCCGCTCATGAAGAAATGAATGAGACAAAAGCATTCATTAACGTTTTTGTTTCTTGGGGTCGAAAGCCTGAAGACGGCTCAGCAGAAATCAACTGGAATGATTGCACTATACCTGGCTGGTCGGAAGCGTAGTTATTTTCCCAATATGCGCCTTCACCAAAAATCATTACGATTCTATACCAAACACAATTATTTTCAAAAATCTCGCTTGCTACGACGCCTAACATGCATATACAACATATGGTATATAGTAACTATGACCATTCAATCCACAAAATTACATTTTATGAAGATTGATACTTTTCAATCCTGCATAAAAAACTTCCCTCATTACATATATAATATAATGTTCTGGAGAAGAAAATAGAAATTTTTCTCAAAAGTAAAATAATAACAACCATACCATACCGAATCCGAACCTAGTGCAACTGAAGTGCCACGAGCTGAATTGAAGGCAGCCCGCCGATATTAAGATTGATTGCCGGAGTTGCATACGATCAACAAACTATTCTACTCCTGCCGTAATGTCATTTCGAAAGATGACAAATTTTTTATTGGGATTTTCGCCTTTCAGAAAAAAGCAAAAAGCATCGAGGTTGATTTGTACATTATGAGGCTGAACGCGCCATGGTTAGGGAGCTGCTTTTGCCATACAGAGTTGTAAGTCCGCATGCTTATTATCATAACAGTACAGATCGTTGGCGAGCGTATACAATTATAGCCGTTGTCCTCTCATGCGGACGAATTCATTGTCAAGTAACAAAATGGACGGGGTTTCCACAAGCATTTTTCGGCAGCCCGCACAATATATGATTTGTGCAGAGTGGAGCGCAACTGTTGTCATACGAATAGGTTTGTTGCGCAATAGAGTAATAATATCAAGCCTCTTTTCAGGTTTGGATAACATGTTCATGTCAACCAGACGCACTCAATATCATACGATAACTGGTTCCAGGCTTTAGATGACAAGCACGCAGTGATCTACATGAAAATTTTGCCAAATTTTGAAATAACAGGTTTTGCCTCAGTGTGTTGCCTGAATTCTAAAACATCATGTAAACGAACTCAACTGGAGTTCGGGCTGAAGGGTGGAATTATAAAAGGACGGGTAGTTGACGCCAATACAACAAGTTATCTCACTCTACTTGGTTCAATCCATCGCTGTTCGTTAAGCTCCTCCAAATCATAGTCTAATCATAATGGGCAACGGACATTTACACATAGATCAGCCTACTCCAGCTGAACTCGCCATAGTTCGCAGAACCTGGGATCAAGTTTCACATATCCGTCTAGCGGATGACGATGCCAACGTATCATCCTCTCTGGCATTTGGCTTATGCTTTTACAACGCAATATTTCGAGAAGACCCTGATCTGCAAAAACTTTTCCCAAATATCATGAAGCAAGCAAGAGCGTTGACAGGCATGATCTCCTACATCACGAAGCCAGCAGATAGTCTTGGTGAACTGGAGGCAAGTATGAGAGAGCTTGGATCTCGACATGCTTTCTATGGAGTCAAAATCGAAATGTTCAGAGTGGTTGGTCAAGCTTTCGTTGTTGCTTTGGAGGAGCGACTTGAGGATAAATATGATGCTGAAATCGGGCGATGCTGGCTTAAGGTAGGCAGACCACTTTGTTATCTGAATTACTTTTGGTAACCCTACTCACGCGTATCCTCTCACAATAGGCATACATCTTCGTTTCACATAATATGAAAATGGGTTTGGAATCGCAGTTGAACTGGGAAGAAGAACGCAGAATACCAACTCAGCATGAACACGCTCATAGCAGCCACAGCAGCCACCACCATCATTCAGATAAACCACATTGCTCTATACAGTAAAAAAAAAAAGGAACCAAATTAGGTTGAATATAAGCTTACAAGGCACCGTTATATAGTGCAAGCTCTGTTTCTAAATATCTATCGCGAGATACCAATGAATGCTCGTAAATTACATAAAGTTTTGGTGTTTAAATCATGGCTATGTGCTCCATTTTAGTTATGTAGATGTCTATGAAGATAGCATGGCTGGATTACCAAAGCCATCCGCTTCGTTTTTTAAGTAATGTTGGGTCATTCCAGTCCGGATGAATGAGCGTTGTAGGGCTACTGTAAATCGATTCGCTGCGCCCTCTAACTAGTACAGGGTCGGAAATCCTGATGAGTTGATTAGGATCAACTACCAACACCTTGGGGTACCATTCCCTAACACGTTCAACAAAGTGGGGGCCGTTGATTCTGGCGCTAGCTTCCAGTCTGCTGACAGATTGTGATAGTTTGCTTGATTCTCGGTGAAAAGCTTCAGCCTTGTCACCAAGCATGTCTTTTTCGTTAGGGTGAAGCTGGCCCAACTGTGAAGGAACAAACATGAACGTTGATAGAGCCCCGGAAGTTCCGCTTTCGTGCGATGATGGGTATTGAGCAGATATAGCATATAGATGGCTAAAAAACACAGCTGGGCTCACATCCGCGAAATGAAATAAAGATGTCCCCACCGTGACTTCTGCAGGCATATAAATAATCCGGCAGTCTGTGTAAGAACGAACCAGTCATTAGTTTTGGTTTTAATAAGTGGTAATTATGACACAAATACCAGTCTCGAAATTACCTGTAAGCACACGACTTCCATACTCCACTACATGGGCAAACGTGAGTGCTGATCCAGCAATGGAAAAACGGAACTTGGGATGACTGATAATATCGTCTGGAAAAACTGCAAGATCTTCGTCTGGCTGCAAAAAGTGGATTTCTGCTATGGCGGGGTTGTTTAATTTGAGTCGTATTGATTGCAATGTTTCCGATAGTTCATTGCCTTCAATATCTGGGGATAATTGTGTGATCATATAAAGGCCGTACTTTTGCACATCATCAATCTGTAAGTCTGGGTCAGAAATCCGTCATCTGTTACGGTGATGAAACAGCCTCTTGTTACTAACCCCAATCTTCAAACCCGAGTAAACGTAACGACCAGGCTTATCGTTCGGATTATTACCCTTTGCGGCAGGATCGTAGATACACAACTCGAAGCTTCCATAACGCTTGATCTCATGGCCAGCAAGAATATTGAATTTAAGCTTGTTGCCGTCCTGCTTAACATCCTTTCTTCTAATTGGAACATTGACGGGAAATTGTCCATGCATTTTAGGTAGTTTTCCATCAGAGTAGATGTCGCATAGCTTGTAGACCTCTGCTTCTCCGTCAATGCCTATCCACACAGCTTTGAATTCTGCCAAAACATCATATGGCATACCAGTATTCGCTTCAGTTGGTGAATGAACGAATTGCCCGGATATTATTGAGTCAGTGCCGAAGAACTGCCTAGAAGGAAAGGTCTGGACATTGCTGAATTCCGCTGTCTGAGAATGTTCATGGTCTCGTTCTTCTTGTAATTCCTTTTCTAAGAGGAATTGTCGTTGTTTCTCGGCTCTACTTGTAAGGAGCGCCGAGATGATTTGGTAGGTTATGATGACGAAGACCACAATAGCTATCCGCCGTCGCATGAACATTTACTGATGTGTGTGTCTCGATGGACAAAGTGGAAAATCTCAATCGCACTATTGAATAGGATGTGATGAATTTGTGTATCAAAGATGATTGGTGCTCCTGGATGAGCAGCTTGCACTCAGTATTCAGGTTGGAAAACTTTTTTTTAATTATTATTTCTCCAGTACGATTATCTCGGTACTTGAAAATCCCCCATTTGCAAAACAGGTGAGGGCTAATAGCTATGAAACGTTTCACACCAATTCCGACATCGCGTAGACGTGGTAGCAAAATGAGAACAAAAACACAAAGCAATAAAACCCAGTATAAACGGAATAAGTATGAATGTATGTTACGTGATTTTATTCAGTTATCCTTCGATTCACATTCGATGAGCTGATATTACGCATGTATTGGAGCCTTAGCAACCATCCACGTACGATCTAAAGATTTGGAAGTGCAGGTTAGAGACATGACCTGAAGCATTCAAATTGTTTTACGCGTAGGAATGAAGAGCTGTTCAGACGTTATGTGCGGTCGTCGTCATCTCTTAGGAGTGAAGGTGGGTTCCCGCTCAGAAGCTGTAAAGCAACAAGCTGGTCCTTCACTTTGATCCCTCAATCGGACATGTGCAGGTATCATCATAACAATTCATCCCTACCGCGAAGCTAAGAGACGTACAATACATACCTTCAGGTCATTCATGTGAAGCGCAGGATAAAGAGGAATATGGTATACTAAAAAGTTTTCAACGCAAATTTTATATCTGAAAAACTTTTCTGGGGTTAGGGTTTTTAGGATTGGAAATTCTGCCAAAAAGCTGAGTGCAATTGTTCTCAGCTCGGCGATTCATTTGCTGAGGCTGGAGCTGCCGTTTCCGCTGATGGCATTTCATTATCTGTTTGACTAGATACACGCTCATCATTATTTTCGAGATTGTTGGTATTCGAATCAAAGGTGTATGGAGGATCATCATCTAATATGTTCACTGGGATATCTAGCTCCTCGGTTGGCGTCATTCTGTTTACTACTGAAGCACTGTTGACAAGCATACGTCAACGAATAGTCACTTTGTGATAGCACTGATAAGCAGAAATACTTACAACCATCCAGGGGTTTGAAGTAGTCGTCTTCCACCGCTATGTGGCTCTCGGGGCCACACATCTTCAAGGAAATAGTAAACATGACCAACAGCAATGCCTAACACGTCTCCCATAGGCAAATGACTATTGATCAACAATGAGAAACCTAGAAGCACCCAAGGGAGATAAGGAGCAGAAAATACAAGTACGCCCATAAAACTCAGTCGAATATAGGGATTCCTTCGAGACCAGATATACACCAACGTAAAAGCCAGAGGCGATCCCAAGAATGGCATGTCTGCCATTGGTACGATTATCTAGTGGTATCACCATGGTAAGTCTCATGTGTATACGTAAGTGGAAAAAAAATAGCACATACCGAGCATATCAACAAAGCAATAGCTGAGAGTAGTAACAGCCAGGCATAGTCGGCACCTCGAGAACGAAAATGGCTTTCTTCCATCATCCGGCTATATCGAGCTCTAAACAGATGTCATTTGTCGATTAGAAAAATGCCGTAGCGAAAAGACACTGAAATCCGTTCATCGTGTTGGACCACTCACAAAAAGAATATATGGAACATGAAGTCCAATGAGAGCGGACCAAAGTATAGAAAATTCGTTATTAACCTCCACCACTGTACAAATACATGATCAGTAAGAGCTCAACGTATCAGACCATTACGGAAATCCCAAACGATCATATAGAACAAACCTCATTTCCGTATAATATTCTATCGTAGTCGAGCCACAGCTTTATAGGATGAACAAGTTCCAATTGCTGAAAATACAAGGTACGCGATTAGGACGCTGACTCTGAAGCTACTACTTCCAAGGGCAGGCAGCATGACCTACCACTGCCAGACTGGTCAAACATGCCGCCGTAACATATGCTCTTGTTATAGGAGGAATCTCATAGAACCATGTTTCTAATGGCGTAGGCATGAGAAGTTATTGAAAGAGTGTATAGGGTGAGCACAAGGATGAAATTGATTGCCTTGTCACGCTCGACACGTGTACGAGATTTGCAGGAGTCGGAGTTGACACCCCTACAAGTTTTAGGTGAGCAGGTCCAAAGCTCAAATCCCCACACTTTCATGTCGCATACATTAGACGATCCAGCAGATGAATCTAGTAATCTCATTCAAGGTACGTAAGAAAATGTGAACAGAAAAATTGGACACACGCAAAATAGACCCTAAGCAAGAACAAAATTTTAAGACATAGTGAGGGACTTGCTATCTTACGATAGCGTCAGGCAGAAACGAGTGTTCGAATACTACTTTTTTCGAGACGCTTCGCTGACTTCGCCTCTCATGAGCATAGAAGGGGTCGTGAATATACAAAAGTAAGCGGATCTGTGTTAGTTTAACACTTATCGAAGTTTACTGAGTATTTTTTTTGAACACCTCTCAGTGTTTACACGGTATGGAAGTCGTTGAATAGAGATGAGCCATCTATCAATAACATAGTTTTTGACGGGTATGTATATGACAGGTTGGCATCAAAACAGTTGACAGTTCTTAACTGAGACTTTCATAGCAAAATTGCAGTCGTTCATTTGACACAAAATCTTTGCCCAAGCATTTTTCCGTTTGTCAAGATGAAAGTGCCTGCTATTGTCACTTTGTATTTCAAGGAGACAGACGAAGATAGCGGTTTGCTCAAAATTTATAGAGAGGAAGATAGCTGGACACTAGAAGGTAAATGTATTTGAATATGCACACCGCTACGTAGTACACCTATTAACGATTACGGTTAGGTTTAATATCGTCTGTACCGTTAATTTCATTTTGGTATGATAATGTTGTACGAGTCGTTATGGGTAAATTGTTGACAACAGCTGGAGACGTGCTACACTCTGCCGTTATTCAAGCTCAAAAGATGTCCTTGCATGGCAGAGAAATACAACGTCTCGGACAACAGATAGCTCAAGAGAAATTGGACGAATACAGGTTGACTTTTGGATCTGATTCAAGACTAGCAATCGAAGGTCCGACTAATGACGATTGTTCAGACAATGACAACTCCACCAAGAAACACCCACCGTATTCCAGTTGATTTGTACACAACCACCTTGTATATAGAAATATACATACTACATACTATATTATATTATATTATATTTATGTCTTGCTTTTGAGTGATAGTTTCTAAGATTACTTTAGAAGACCAAAATCAAACAGTTGTATTGATAGCCACAATAGGACCACCATCAAATAATGCTTTGGTAGTTGTGATGCTTCGCTTTTGAAATGACATTTTGGACAATGCGAAGGTGAATATGAATCTGGAAAAGCAGACAAGAGATTATTATGGTGTATAGTAATGCTATTGCAAATACATCTAGTCCAACTTACTATCCATATCCTGGTATGCTTGTTTGGAATACATTGAAAATGCGAGTTGACGATATGGAACCAAACGTCCTACTGCAGCTGGAGCATCTGGGCCACGCTCGTCCCAAATGCGGACGATGTACTTGCCAGTCAGTAACCTAGGCTGTAAAGGATCACTTTCAAAGAGCTCTGTGTCCCATACGAAATTTTTCGAATCCCCAGGGATATTTTCTCCAATGATAAATTGCTCTTTCAACGGGCTGATGATTGCAAACGTCAAAGATTTAGGTATGATGGCAAGACCATCAGCATATTTCCAGACAAATTCAACCTTATTGCCGATACCGTACAACGGTGTTGGTTTTCTTTGAATGTTAGGTTGAGTTAGAATCAGATATCCAGATCCTGATGTTGCATCTCCTATGGATCCTATAATGGAGTCTGAAATCGTTATATTATTTGGCAGCTCTGTTACTGGAGTCTGTGCAGACACTAGCAGTATAAATTCTAAACATTAGGTTTCCATTATCATCTCTGGGCAAGTTGAATTGGAGCGCATTTACCAGAGGCCGCCAAGAGTACCGACACAAATATGGTAAATTGAAAGAGTATGATCCTTCCGATCATGTAGCCAAAAAGACGAGCAAAGTACCAGAACAAGAAAGGCTGCTATTGTTACTCAGGTTTATAATTTTTAAATAAAGGAAAAGAAACGGATATTCAACGACAGTAAATTTTCAAAAATATGTTAATTAAGTTCTTGCTAAGTGTAATTCTCAAAATGTCATCACTCTTGCTTTTCGGTAATGCCTGCGCATGTATAGGTGCGGTTGCCAGAATATTTGGGGATCCAGCCTTGTTCCTATTAAACACAAGGGTTAGCATTCTGTCCGTCGGTATACACAGCAGAATTCAAATTGTTGACTGATCTTACCCATCCTAACAGATAGTCCCAGTGAGGATTGACATGGTTCTCAGTCTTGAAGTTCCAGAAGAACCATCCTATGCCTGATTCAAAAGCGTCCATTTGTCGTTCAATAAAGCGATTCAAGAATTGTTTGTATTCATCACTCCAATTTTGCCAGTCCTCACTGCCATTGCATGTACAATTCGAGCAAACGGCCGGCTTGCCGTCCGTAAATGTGCCATCGTATCTAGCTCCGAGGCCGATCCCATTTAAATATTTTGCGCAATCATTAGTCGCCGCGGAAAATTCTCCAACCATGGTGTGACCGAAATCTTTCTGGGACTGTTCAAGGTCTTTTTTCCAGTCTCGACAAGGGAACTCTGATTGAGAATCCCTGCTCATAGAAACCAATCCTTGATCAAAAATGAGATATGTGTGGGTTTCTAGAATTTCGATGCATTGTAGTGTTAGGAGTTGTTGTTCGTTCAGTCGATATATAAGTGGCATAAAATTCCTTGAAAATAAAAATAAAAATTGGTAGCTGTGACTTACCGAGGACAGTGCGATCAAAAGTTGTGTTTGGCATAAATCCTTTCCATTTCGGTAGACCAATGAAGCCTTCGTGATAGGTAAGGTATGGACCTTTACCCTCTCCAGTAACATTACGAATGGCTTCATAACTATCTAGATACCATTGCTTGGACCTCTGAACATCAAGCTTGTATATAGCTGGCTCATTGATCACACCAAACATTGTCACAACGTTGGCCCATTGAGGCCTGCTAAAGAACTCGACCATCGGTACAACAGTATCTATTGTAAGCTGCGCGTTTTCATAACCTTGTTTTGTGCCGTTCAACCAGCCAATCGGGCCGACTCTACCGGAGTGATTCCATCCATTTTGTGATCCAGGAGCCGTATGGAGTTCAACCATGACTCTGATACCGTACTTTCTTGCCCATTGTATTCCTTTAAGCAAGTAATCCCAGGCAAGGTTGGGTACGAACGGCTCGCCTTCGATAGGATTGACTGCCCAGTGTCCAGTTGGAATGCGAACGTGGTTGATACCCATTTCAGCAATTTTTTTGAAGTCTTCTTCAGTGATGAAGGTCTCGTAGTGCTCTTGGATTTGTCGTTTTGCTTCATCTGGACCAAGTTTTTCACTCAGTGTCCATTCATCAATAACACCCTCTGAAGGGTCGAATTGCTCGAAAATGGACGGGGAAATAAAAGGCTCGAGTACAAGCCAACCACCCAAATTTACACCACGAATAGCATCTTCACCATAACGAAAATGCTCATTGAGCGGTGGGGTCTCCGCATTGACTTGAACGCTATCATCAAATCCATTATTAGAGGTCTGATTATTGCTGTTGACGCTGGGGTTGGTGCTGTGGTCATCATAAGTGAAGTCATTGACCTGAGTTCCAAGAACAACACTTGGTATGATGATGGCGGCCAAGATGGAGACGGTGCCAAGTGCAATAAGCTTTTTTTTGTGGCGACGAAAAAATCCTGCTGTGGGTGGTTGCTGTTCGGCGACGCTACTCATTGGCAATTCTTTCTCTCCTCGCTCGATTGGTTCGTTATGCATTTGCAGTGTGGTATCTGAGTCTCGTGGATCTTTCATTCTGCATATTAGCTGGGATATCGTAAGGATAGCATCATCCGAGTTTACACTAACCTGTCATTGTAAGCAATTTCGAATAGCAGAAATTGTTTGTTTGGAGGAAATTTCCTGGCTTTATTAAATAGCTTCACTGGAAAATTAAACGTGAATCCACCTCGGTAGAACAGAAGCTTCACAGCGGTAGAACAAGAATGAGGAAAAAAAAGGGTGAAAACAAAAGAACAATAGCGAAAAACATTTAGATATATCATCAAACTCAAAGTCATATTACTCTTGTGTTGTGGAAATCAAAATGGCCAAATCAGATGGCACAAGACCAATCAACCTTTATTATGCATTGGTATTTGATGGAAAAATAAGAAATGTGGCTACAAGTACATCATGGTATAATGACAAGTGATAAGAAAACTTTACATGTTATAGGAAGGAAGTTTTTTCTCTCTTTTTTTTTGGTTAGAATGCCAGCTTCATGCCCCAACAGAGTCGAAATAAGTGTCAAGTTCCGAGTGATCTTCAAGTTTTAATGATGCTCCAACGTATCCGTCGGGTCTCACCACAAAAATAGCCGGCGAGTCAAGAACTCCAAGCTTGGTGTGACACTCATTATTATGGTCTAAATACAAGTTCTCTGCTGAGACGTATGTCGATATTAAAGACTGCATGTTGATAACATCGTTTCGGTTTTGATTGGTAATATAAACCACATTGACCACGGTAGAAGTTTTGGTCAAAGGTGGGGCGCTGTATCGTTGAAGTCGTGTGGTTATTTTGGGGTTACTGGGATAATTCTCGCTCAAGCGTCTAGTAAATGATCTCGGAGAATTGATGTCTTCCTTGAACGCCTTCAACATTTCCAAAGAGTGCTCATCTTGTTGTTGGAGGGTAGATGCCAAGCAAAGCAGAATAGTGAAGGCGCCAAATCCATCTTCTCGAATGCGGTCTAATAGGTAAAAGTAATTGCCTCGTATTTGTTTCCATGTATCAGTTGTGGACACGGTGGCCGCTACTGAAGCTTTACTCTTGACAGATATCGATCTACGTAAGGTTTGCGGAAACACTCTTTGGCCCCATGATGGGTGTTTCTTGTTTAACGTGCTGGATTCATTGGGTAGAGCAAACTGTGTTGAGACATTTCGCTTCATGTTATGTAAGTCCATGATCTGACTTGCTCTGTACGGCTTCAACCTTCCATCAGGAAGTTTGTCACCACCAGCTACCTTGAAGTCAGTGACAAAGGCGAATGTTTTATCGGATATCCGCAAATTAAGTCGGTTCTCGGGCAAACAGTTTAGCCCAGAGAAGATCTCTTTATGCTTTCGGATGTGATATTGAAGCTCTTTATGCATAGTTGAGTTTAAGCCACCCATAATATGTTGTCCGCGGCCAGCTAATAAAAGCTGAAAGGTAAAAGAGCATTGATCGAAAGCTCGTATATGATGCTGCATTTCAAAGTTAAACGTTTCGAGAACGGCTGATTTTGATCCTTGCAAATAGTCCAATCGTATTTTCCAACACAAATTGTTAACATGTTCCAGCGCGCTAACCATACCAAACAATTCCAATTGTCTCGTTCCCTGAGCCGCCGCTGAAAATCAGTAAATGCTCTTAATTCCCATGACATCAAAATAGAAGATTAACGTTTGGGACAAAGTTCAAGACATACCTCCAATTAGAAATACCCGCTTCATCATCTGTAGCTCCTCACTGACTCGTATATCAGCTGTAAAATAGGTTGTCAGTCAGCTTTGATTGGTTAATATCTGAAAAACTTGAAACCATCGAACTAACTTTGCCATCCTTCAAATGACCAAATTTTATGGACTTCCAATTGATACGGTTCCATCATCGTTTTTATATGCCGTATAGCGATATCCACAGGAACATGCTGGTCCAAACTCCGGTGACTCCAGGACGGATGGTGTTCAAATGTGAATTGCATTTCGCCATCATGACCTTCAAGAGTTATTTCGCTTGGCATTAGATTTTTTGCGTGGACTACGCACGGTTCTTTTTTCATAAACCAAAAAGTTAAACCTACCAATTACCAGTGCTGATCCAGACCGACTATCGATAAAAGACACAGATTGCGACCCAGGAAAATTTGTTGTAGCTTGGGCCACAAGTGTATAAAAGAACGTGTCGTTTCGCCTGCTATCCATCGGAATACCTAGATTACATTTAAAAAAACTTCAGCTTTTTAAGTTTACAGGCAACTTCCATGGTAAACAGGCGCTTACCCAATTTCTGCCGAATAAAGCTATGGACACCATCGGCACCAATGAGATATTGACATTGTATTTGTTCGCTGGTGTTTTCATGAACAATGATTGCCGTAACCGCAGCATCCATGTCTATCAATTCCTTCTCGTATTCCACATCAACATTGTAATCGGCCTTCAGTTTTTCCACCATGCGCTCTTTGACTTTGAGTTCTGACAGACAAACACAGTACTGGTATTTTGAAGTTTCATTTGACCATAAGGCGAAGGAACCAGCGCTTCTGCCGCTATGGTAAGTATAGAACTTGTGGTGGAGTCGACCGGTTTCTGTGATATAATTGGCTATCCCGACAACATCCAAAATCTCAAGAGCGCGCGGTGTCCAAAGCACAGGGAAGTCTTTGGTCTTCGTCATGTGGTGTTTCCTTTCTAAGATTTGAAATATATCAATGCGTCTGTTTATCCAAGTTACTGACATGGTACTGTTCGATCCACCTACCGATAATTCGCACAGTGAGACCGAGCCTTGATAATAGCATGGCAGCCAAGAGACCGTCGATTCCTATTTACAATTGATTATCTATTTAGATGGGCTATGGTCATATGCTAAGGACGGACGGGACGTTCGAAGGGTGAGAATTTTTCGTACCAGCTCCCACTATGAGAACATCCACAACAGGCTGAAAAATCTTTGCACTTTCTTCCATTCCTCGCGTATGACAGCAATGTACAAGCCGATTATACAAAAGCTAGGAAAGAATAATAGAGAAAAAAGAAGAACTTGGTGCAGCTGAAAATGGAGTTTCATATTTTTTTTTTGTTCGTGACAAAACTTTCGTTTCTCCAATTGGGGCATAACCAAGTACCACAACGGAACATCAACTATTCTGCACTGGGAAAAGGCTCAGCATATTTCCAGGTACCTTCTGGTTCGGAGTGATAGTAATGCAGACGATAACAAGCGTACTGCATTCAACAGACGCTAAATACTGTGGTTGATGCGGCCATAATATCCGTATTTCCTGCGGTGGAATTGCGGGTCCCATATTCAATGTTATGCGAGGCCTATGTCACCGTAAAGCCCGAAGCCTTATGTAAAAATGCGTTTAGTCTCAGATAGGAAGCAGCAATTAGCATACTGCTCTGTTCGATCGCCCGTTGTCGATAGCTTGATAAAGTATATCGATGAGACTCCTTCTTGACATGGATTTTAAACATAAAGTCATGGAAAACGATCATGTTTACTCATTGGTCAGTCATTTAGGTACTACCCAATTCATCCCTATATCCCGAAGGACGCACAGAATTTGATGAAAGAACCATTTCGATGTACTTGAGAACGTACCTGCTGGCTACAATTGCAGCACCTTGATAAAACTCAGATTTTTCGAGTCAAATTTTCACGTAGTACAGTATTACTTTCATGAAAGAAATGAAGCATGATTTTAAACTGCTGATCACGAATATACGAGTTGAAACAGTTAAACCGGAAGGCAGATGAATGTTGTCCGATTTTTAGATGCAAGCGAGCCTGAGTGGACACTTACATCTTTCTCATGGTCATAGCGCTATAAGATTTCGATCTCGTATACCATAAAAATAATAATTCATAATGAACCAAAAACGTGGAATGCAATATAATGAATGTAACTTCTTTGCTGATTTGAAACGGCAATTGATGACTACGCACGCCCACTTCCGCATTTGTGAAAGCAATAGAAGCTGATTGTCAACTTTCACTTCCCGCTACATGGTCACTAGTAGGATAATAGCCGAGGTACTGCTAATATCGCAGCAGTACAGACAGCTTAGCTGATTCGTAGTGTAATTCTGAGTGGCTCCTCAACATGTGTCCGATAAATAGTGGAGTTGAGCACTCAGCGTCATGCAGGTACTATTCTAACTTTGGTGGGGTTTAAATGCAGTATCGCGTTGCATGAGTTGCATGACCATAAGTATGACCATAAGTATGTATATACATAAGTGTATATACTGTAAATTTTCATACAGGTTATGTAAGAGCTGGAGAGGCTGTAGCGCAGAGTTATAGTCAGTGCAAATAGGATCGCCCGATTGCAAGTACGATCTCTGTGCTATCTTCATAAAATCAGTGCAACGCAACAGCGCTAGTACATTAATGACAACCTCACAAAACGCTTTGGTGTCAGCGATCACAAAGTGATCTCGCTGTACAACTGACATTTATTTCATTTAGGCAAGATTTGTACTTATGATATAATATGAAAAAGTTCTATACAGAGACGATAGCTATATCTCCAAACATTATGACAAGCAAGCTTTAATAACAAGTACCAATCTCACATGAAATTATATGTGTTCTGCTTCACCAGCTAATTTCTAAAAGTCGTTTGACCGATCTGAACAACTTTCTGGTAACTGTATCAACAAACACCGACAGTTACGGCCGGAACGAGAGCTTGAACGGGTATACATCTATCGCCACGGGGTTTAACTGACAGAGCAGGTTTCCCAGCGGCGGTGATCAGCTTTTTCACGCGTTTGCAATTTGCCCATACGTGATCCAAGAAACGTTGGTCAAGATTAATGCATCCTGACACATCCAAGATTTCTAGACTTTGCAGCGACTCATCCTTCCACCATGTAGTAAATTCAGATCCAGTTATTTGGTCGCAGTTTTGAAGCTTGAGATACTTCAACTGAGGCGCTCCCTGGACGATGACTTTTAATAGGTTATCGTTGACTGTAACATAGTCGCTAAGATCCAACTTTGAGAGATTTCTGCAACTCCGTATGATGGCCGTGATGGGCAAATTAATGTCTGGGCAGGTTTTTGAATAACGAACGTTACGCGGGGCTACCAAAACTTCCAGGTTTGGACAGTGGTTTGCGAGGGTCCGTAAAATTATTGGCGTTATATGGACACAACCTGTCATCCTGAAGCTACGCAGCTTCGACCAGTGCCTTATAGCCTCCATCAACCCGTCTTCCCAAATATTGCGGAAATCTTTAAAGCTGACGTTCTCAAGCTCGTTGCATGATTGAAGTAATAGGTATATAGCGTAGCGCAGTGGGAAGCTAGCGAATTCCAAGCTACGTAAGTTAGGAGAGAACGTTGGGAATAGGTCTGAGAGGCCGTAGTTGCAAACAACAAAGGTGGTATCTTTCTTTGGGAATCCCTGTAATGCCAGTCTGTCTACTGACTTCGTAAGTCGAGTTGCTGTCTGTAGCGACTTATAAAAATCCTTCAACCGGCTCTCTTGCCAGTTCAGTAAGGCAATAGGATGATTGAAGGAAAGCTCTAGTCCTGTTGTTCTTGTGCATAGTACTTCAATTAAGTGAATCAGTACTACATGTGCCTCTTCGTTGTACGACCCGTCTTCATTGAATAAATATGACATGTCGAGGTTGATCGTCTTTATCGCATCCGGTGAGTATGGAGATCTTATCTGACTCGAAGAAATAGTCTCTAGCAGGTTGGATAGTCGGAACAAGCCATCAACCTGACCACCGCGCAGCTTGACGGTACTTAGTGACTGAGACAGAAGATAAGTTGCGACATCGTTCCATATATGAGAAACCAGTGAACATGATATTATGTTCGCAAAGTAGTCCAAGTCATCGGTGAACAGTTTATCGAATACAACATGAAGTACTTCTGGGGGGAGTGAAAGTGTTGAAGCCATGGTACAACGTCGTTTCCTCACATCGCAGTCGCACGGCGGGTGCTCTCTTTTTATTCCTGTCATTTTTTCCCACAGGCATAGCATAAGCAAAAGACGGCGTAATCAAAGTGAAGAAAACTGTGCGGGGTCCCTGTGATAGAGCTCTCCGTGTGAATGATTACAAAATTTTGGATGCGGGTAAAGGCTGCCTAAGACTGGTCATGTGGGCTTGCCTCGTCGAATTCCCCACAAAACACAAAATTCAGAGCGAAAGTCCAGTTTGGGACACTGATAAGATTGTTGCAAGCAAATGACTTCATACCGTTTCATCCACAGCCCAACGCCTATGATCAGACACAGTGAAATATAGACTTCCATGTCTGTAATATTGCAGTATGAAATTAGCATGCGGCTTCTCATGACAGTCTATACCTCTAATCAGGTTGCTGATGGCACCAATGAAATTTGTTTTGGCATTACAACACCTCAGGGGCTGACCTTCGACTGCAGATACTTGTTACATATTTTGAAATGAATCGAAAGGTACATCATATATGGTATAATTCCAGTATTCAACCAATTGAGTGGGGGCCGCCTAGGGCATTATTGCATAATGCCAAGAGCAATTTTATGCGAGTCAGAGAAGCAAAGTAAATATATACCTCTGCTGGTGGCACTCACTCTTTGGGAATCGGTTTAGGAAAAACGGGTTTGCCTTTTGACGAAAGAAAAAATAAATAGACAATTTGGTTGAAGAAGGCAATGCGCTGTGCGCAATTTTTGGAACGTTGTATCGTCGATACCGTTGTCTTTTGGTTGGCCCGTGCTGTGCTCAGCTTATTATAAAGGAAAAATTTGATTGGTTCTCTCTTCACGTGATCTCGGGAAGTATAGAGCCCCTCTGGTCAACTTGATGCGCAGCTTATTCTAATCTCACTGCAAGATACCATGGGAGTTAACCGTAGAATTGCCTTCAGCAACAAGCAAAACAACGGCAGAACTATAACACATAATGTTGGATTGAATGAAAGGTATGGATCATTGGCTTCAACGGCGGATCGTTATCGAAGAGCGGCAGGTACCAACACTCGGATGTTGTAGATTCAGTCAACTTGGAAAACCAGCAACTGGTGCGGCAAAGAGCAAGCCAGCTATTACAAACCGACTAGGACCTCAGAATGCTGGTCGTGCGCATGTTGCCAACATCCAAAGCCGATTAGGCAAAGCGAAAAACGCCGGAATCAAGAAGGCACCTCTAAAGCGTAAAAACAATGGTCCTACTGCCATGGAGGGTGTTGAACGCGCTGGTAACGTTTCGGCACGTAACCAGAAAGGGCTCGCTAATCTTCGAAAAGCTAAACCCAATGCTGCCAACGCGCAAAAGAAAGTTGCACGCAACAACACCAAGCGACCTGCCCCCAACGCGCGCGGGAAGCCAAAAGCACAGGACAAGGGTAAACCTCAGGAACGCGCCAAAGCAAAGCCTGTGTCGAAGGACGATCTTGATAAGTCTTTGGACGAGTATATGATGAAGGATCCAAAGACTGCTCAAGCTAGATTGGATGACGAATTAAACCAATACTTGGCTGACGGTGACTTAGTCATGGACATGTAATGTTCAAACTTACGCTTCTACCAAATCGCTCACAGCTCACATTTAGCGCACTATACGGCCTTAATCAGTACATCATCAACATTTGAATTCTCTTTCAATACATATCATTATTTCCACAATATCGAATGTCAACAGTCTTGAGTGCTTTGTCAAGCTTGCGTGCTATCGCCAAAAACCTAACGAAGAGCTGACGAAGTGAAAGTTGCAAACAGTGAGAAATGGAAAGGTGCAAAGATTATGGCGATTTTCTTTAGAGACAGCTCACTGAAGAAGGAAAAAAAAAAAAGGCAGATGTGAATATGCAACTGCTCAACGGTTACCAATATAACATAGATAACATAGACAACAGTGTAGAGTAGAGAATAAGCGACCTAGCACACCATTAAATGAACAAACAATCTTTATGCCTTACTTGCTCCAATGCTTTCAGATCGATATATGTTTGACCATTTTGCGATTTCGGATCTCGCTTTGATTATTGCTTTGCTGCCCTTCCTATGGCCACTGTAAAATGCCTTTTCAGACTACAGCATGCTGAAGTCATATTATCACCAGTGACTATGTTAGCATTCCAACCACTTTGGCTATCTAATATCAAGTGGAGCTCTATTTGCACTGGAAACCATGATATATGATGTTCACACATTAGCTAGCTAAGCACAGAAGGACAGAGATGATGATACATAAGTTGTGACTCAATTATCAAATTTTCCGATTCGTATTAAAGATGGCGCAGTGCGGTGAGGTTCACGTCGAGACGAACAAATGCTGTATAACAACCGAAGGTGGACACGGCAACTTTTAGCGTTCGGCAGATGGTGGATCAGCTTTATTTTTTTCTGTCCAGAAAAGGAAACTGGCGCAATAACAACCTTTGAGAAAAGGCAAGGGCAAAACATATAATAATTCAATTAGACTTGTGGATGGGTAACCACTCTCTTTCATATCTTTGTAAAAACTTCTCTACTCTTTGTACATAATTACACGCATATATTCCTCGGCTTCAAAGAAATGCTGTCAAAGACTAAGATTGAGAATGTCACTTGCCTTGCTCTCAATTTCTTAAATATTCTTCTATACCTACTTGTCATTGCCGCCGCCTGCTATAAATGCATCAACTCCAACTTTTCGCAAATTGTCTTATCCATCTATGGAGCGTAAGTTCTTATATCTATAAGCTTAACATTGCAAAAGGATAGCTGATAAATGTCCATCAACAGAATAATAGCGGCTGCTCTTACGATAAACGAAATCCAATCACCACTTCTGACACAAGAATACTTTCGATTTATGTGCATATATAGAGGCCGCGGTTTGATCTTCTTCTTGTATGTGTATAAAACTTTGCGCAGTAATCGTTGAATTGTTTTAATAGCATCTAACTTTCTCTCATGTCTTTTGCTTGTAGTTTTGGATGCCTCGTTCTAGGCGAAGAAGTCCTCAATATTATTGTTGGTACGCTGACTCTCAGCTGGGGGTTGTTTTACATAATTTTGTCCTTTATTGCCAGTATACCACCACCAAATTCGTTAGTCATAAACTGGCAAAATTGGAAGGACTTCTCAGCAGAAGGTCTGGACCTCAGTCGACCACGTAACTCTACAATTGAGAGCGTTGCAGCAATCCAACTCAAAGGCCCTCCACGACCCAGTTCGTCCATGGCCCAACCAACCATATCTAGATACAGCAACGGCTATAGTTTGACTGAAGCAGATATGGGAGATTGGAGAGTAGACTCTGATTATGGTAGTGTCAAAGAGGGTGTTCAATATGTTACCCAACCCAGCTCTGAGTATGATGGTAGTTTTGTATCGCCAGTCCACTCGCCAAGAACGTCCGGGATCGCTTCTCCACACATGGGTTATTCCCAAGGACAAAGATGGTGAATATCCATTTGACAAAGAAAGAAAGAATCAAATAGAAAAAAGTAGTCGGTCCCGAATGTAAATAAGTGCAAGCGCACCTTAACTCCAGTACACAAACATAGTGAAATTTCAAAATATATATTTTCTTTTGTTCAGCACAACCGTGCCATGTACTGTATATGTCTATATAAACTGTAGATTGCAAAGAGCGTTCCATCTTAATGAATGCCCCAGGAGATTTAGTCAACCTAAGGTGGACGGTTAGCGTTAAATCTTTAAGCGTCTGAGCAATGTGGATCTTTACCTTGAGAGCCGAATACAATCGGCGCACAAAAGCATATGCAGCGAAAAATCCAATTGTGCCAGTACACACACCAAATGCGAGAGAAACCAAAAATGCGTTAGCAACATAGGCAAGCCCAGCAACGAAACCATCAATTTCTAGAACAGTTATCCAGTAGGCGATGGCATAACTAACGAAATATTGCATTAGCACTGAAGTCTTCTCATACCTTTTGGTGACTGCCCCCAACTTACCAGAATACATAGATACCAGAGGCCCCCGATACAACAAACGATCTCCACCACCAGTTATAGTCCTCGCTGCACAATTGGAAGTACACAAGGGCGACAGTGACTTCGATAATGGTAATAACAAGGAGAAGGAAAACAATCTCCAGGAAGTAGAAAGATCCGTACATTTGTCCCTGCCAAATGGATTTGAGCAGGAAATGAACTTCCATAAATACAACAGCAAATGGCAAAGCGCCTCCGGCTGCCATACTATTTAAAAAAGTATTGAATATCAGTCAAAAACTTCCAATGGTGACACTCGCAGTTGATTTCTACTTTTACCTGATCCAAGTACTCATGTACCAAGGTTTATAGGGTATAATTCTAGGCACAGGGCTCACTCTTACGGGATGCTCGAGACGAGGTTGCTTATCACCAAAGTATGCTCCAAACATTACCAGTGGGAGGCATACCACGGCCCACATGATGATTAGTGAAAGCCATGTGGTAAATGGCATAGCCCATGACGACTGCTTCGTCCAAACAAACAAATTGATGATGGTCGCTGTCAAGAATAGAACCGCAGGAACTAAAGTAGCCGTCTTTTTGGAAGAATTAGTCAACGTTCCAAGGGCGTAAGGCACACTCGTCAACCTACCAAAACAGCATTTAATTGCCAAGAGCGCCCTTTAAATACTTTGTAAATGCGAGCACTGGAATATCCAGCAGCGAATCTGTCAAATAAAGTTCAGTTTTCCCTGTCAATGTCTCATGAGTGCCATAAACATCGTCAATGTCACTAACCCTCCAAGAAGATACATAATCAGCGCAAATGAAACTATGCCTCCACGATGTGTTCTGTTCAGAATACCGATATACGCCATCTCTGAAAATGTGTAAAATCAGTAAGAGTCACTGATTGACAACCCTCCTCACCGTTCAAAAGGAAATAACGCTTACGCAAAGTGAGTATGGCCATAGTAAGAAGTTGAATACCAGACCCCAGCAGTGGCGCAAAGAGACCTCCATAGGTGGGTCTTCTGAAAACATCTTTGTTGATGAGCTTCCAGCCCAATGCCTCATCATTGTTATTGTACAACTGTTGAAGTAGCAGAAAATCAGTGCTTTTCCTGACTACATGCATCCGCACGTGAAAACCTTACCTTGTCATCGTCCGTCATATCTTTTCGTACGGCTTTCATCAATATGACAGCAAGAATTGCAGACATGAACAAAACTATGACCAACGAGTTGATAATTGCATACCAATGCAAACTGTTGTCGGAGGCAAGTAGATACAATTCCCATCGTTGTTCCCAAGAAATTTGCTTGTTCAGTTCCCAAGTAACCGAATAGGAATATCGAATGGTCGTTCGACGTTCTGAGACTTCTTGACGACCATAATCAATTGTCGAAGGCTGGCATTCATCTCCTCTAAACGAATCAGGGTATACCTCAAATCCAACTATTCTAATGCGATCTTGGTCGACAGTATCGTATAGGATGTTGAAAGCAATGTGATTGTTAAGATATGTTTTACCATTCTGCGATTGGAGGACATGAGTGGATGAGAAAAATTGAGCCATGATAATATAGGTTAGGACTGTACTCACAACAACTTGACCTAACGGAAATCCGTTACGATACCGTTTCGTTTTCACTTCGCTTGTATAGAATGCTGTTGAGCTAGGCATGTCGTCTAAAATCCATTCTACTTGATAGTCCTGTAATATCAACTTCTTTGCTTGCATAGCTTCTTCTACTGAAACAGGCTTATCGCATAGCACCTGGCAGGAGGAGTCGCGGCCCACAGTGATCTATTGATAGTAGAAGATCAACCGACATAGTCGAATAAAACAGACTGCTGGCATCTACACAACCACCTACCTTATAGTCGCTTTCAACGATACGATCTCCTCTCATGACTTGGCCCAAATTTATCCACGGTCGTGAGGCTCGAGCACTTGTTGGGCATATAAAGTTTAACTCGCTGTAAGCATATGGCAATTGAGTCTTGAATGAAAAGATCTTGTTCAGGTATAGTGGTATAGGATCTCCTTTGTTCAGAATTGTAGCTGATGTCGAAAATAGACCAGCAGCACTGACTACTGCTATAAGTTGAGCACATATAGCGAGGACTGCCCAGAATCTATTTGAACCGTCCTTCATCTCAGCAGTAAAGGTGTCTTTACGCGGTCGCCAATTTTTTTTTTTATTTCTTCTTTTTTTGGTTCTTTCAGTTACAAAAATAACCGTGCTTCAATTTCACGGGCAACCAATCAGCAAGTCCAAGGAAAAGTCTTGAAGTTTTATCATTTCAGCAAACAAAAGCCGTCTTTATTTCCATGAGCTGTCCTTCTTAACAGGCGAAAGAACACAGTAGCTCTTCAGTGAAGCTTTCCATCGTAATGGCTACAGAATAGTCCGCCATTCAAACTCACCTATGTGACGTTATAGAAGTTCTCTGAATGTCATCGTGATGTGAAATTGTAAGCTTACCGCCGGTCGAAGAGTTAGTCTGCATGCAGCAATATGCGGTTTTTAAAAGTTGCTTATTTGAGAGATGTTTGGTTGTTTCTTCGAAATGGAAATGACAAGCAAGCCAAAACAATCCGGAGTTTCAAAAAAACATAGCTCTACCGTTCACTTCACACTTGGTTGCATGCCGCTTGTTCCGAATCTCACTCGGTGATGGACATCTTTCATAACCTAGGAGGGAAGCGAAATCAAAATAAAAGACGCCAACCTGATACAAGTAATTCCCAGTATCAGTTTGCAGCCAGTCAACATTCAGACCAACAGCACCCTGCAGCGGCAATTGTAAACAGCTTCTCGAACGGAGATCAAGCTTACGCACCGACAACGCAGGCGTCATTCCAGGAAAACTGGGAACAAGGTAACGTAGTAAAGCCTAAAGGAATTTTAATATGGATTACAATGTGCTTATTATACTGCTTTGGCTATCAGAACCAGGAGCGTCAGTTCGTAGCTCACAATCGTCACATTCATTTCTATCTCAGAACGACAACAGTGGAAGTGATGGCGGAGGCACATGGACCAGCTCCATGCTATCATCGTCAACAGTTAGCGATCGACCGTCAGATGAAGAAATTGAGCGTTTGTTTGCGAAAACAGCGGTAAGGATGCGAACTAGTAAAATGTCTTGCGTAATGTGATATTGACTTTTACCTGTATCGGATACCAGTCGCGTTTGAATCTTAATCTTAGCGATGAAGGCGTTCGAATGATGCCAGTGGAGAAAAAGTGGTGGGTTCTATGTAACGAAGGTCAATTAAGCAAGTTAGGGCCAGCGATGAATCAGCGCAAATCTTCTGGCAAAGGCCCTGTCGTCAGTTCCAAAACCAGCACCGTACAAACTAGTAAGGAGGACAAAAACACACCTGAGTGGTACATAGCGAAACTGATGAAACCAGAAATGCGAGAAGTTACTCCGAAGCTTGTGAATCATCTGGTTGTGAGCCTACGAACAATGCCACTGAGGTATGTGTAGTGTCGCTGTATAGCATTAAGTGGAGATACGTGAAACTAACAAATCGTATAGCTGGGTCAGACAGTTTATAGATCTTCGAGGTATGCAAATTGTTGCCAATACCTTGGGAGCTTTGACGAAGAAGGCAAGCAAGTAAGTTATACTGTGGCTTTCATGACAACGTGTGCTGGCTGGTAACTAACAAGTCAGCTGCCGCTATCAAGATCATCGCAAGACACGCAGATGGAAACGGATCTTGTCAGATGCCTAAAGTCATTGCTTAACAACATGGTAGGTCATAATTGACATGATATGGGCCATTCTTTTACTTCAAATGTTTAATGCGTTGTTCAATTTCCAGTACGGTATTGGAGAGGCGTTGGGCAGTTCTCATTGCATTGAGAGCTTGACCTTTACACTAGTCTCATCATCTATGCAAGCGAGAAGATTGGCTTGTGAAGCCTTAACATTTCTCTGCTACTGTGATATTCCAAAAGGACATACATTAGTGTTAGAGTCAATGAATGCACTTCAAGACTGGTACCATGATACGTCCCGCTTTGACACGTGGCTTAGAGCTTTAAGCCAGATGTTGGATGGAAGAGGCAAAATGGGTTCCATGGTCGGTGCAAGTGATGATTACCGTAAAATGGGAAACACTGCTGCTGACAACCAGCTGATGGAGTATGCAGTGAGTAGACTTTGATGGTTGTCTTTGATTATCTGTTTGTTATGCTCACATTTGATTTTTAGTTGGCAAATATACTACTTGTCAATGCTATTGTCAGCCTAGAAACGGTGGAACAGTTGGAAAGACGAATAGGTATCAGAGATCAGCTGAACAATTCCGGGCTACAGAAGCTACTGAAGCAAATGGACAACTTTGGATATGAACTTCTCAGTCGTCAAATTGACAGATACCAAGAACTGGCCGATGCTGACCATGAAGATTTGTATGGTGGCATGATACAGAATACAAGCGAGGATCCACATGAAATATTGGAATCTCTCCTCAACACCACCGGAGGCAGACGAGCATACGGATTCTTTGTGGATATGTTACAACATATGACATTAATACCAGAAGAAGAGGAATCGCAGTAAGTATCAAGTTTTGAGATGATATTGGTTTAGACGCCGAGCACTCATTCAACCTTTCTGTAGGACACGGTATTTTCAGATCTTGAACTCCATTGTGTCTGACGTGATATTGGAGAAAAAGGAATTTTCTGCTGATGCACCGATTAGTGTCAGTAATCTTGCGGCCAAATTTGTAGACCAAGATGAGCTTGAGCAAGCATTAGTTGAGGCAGCAGAAGCCCATGAAGCGGCAGAAGAAGCTCAGCAGCGAGTAGCAGAGTTAGAATTAGAGGTATCTGCTAAAGCAGGTGAGAACTAATGGCATAGCAACATAATGTAGAACTCGTTACTAATGGTGTACGTAGATGGGCTGGTTGGTCAATTGAAGGCGAAGAACGAACATCTTGAGGAATTACTTCGAATTTCGACTCATACAGTTGAAACGCTACAGAGGCAGTTAAGCGACGTTCAAGCAGAATATAAGCAGAATCTGGAAGCAATGGATACACAGATGTTGCGCTTTTATGAAATCCTGAAGCAGAAGAATTCCTCGAGTTCAGCTAGTGCTAGCAAACCTACTTTAAAAGGACGACGGAGTAAAGACAGTGATGTCAAGACATGGAACGTTCCTGACAATGACCACCAAGATGTAAGTAAAGAGAGCATCCTTTATATTTTCATTGGTGATCCATTCTGAATTTACTAAATTCGGGTCAATCAAAGGTACTTGATGAAGCATCACTCATAAGTCCAACGGAAGGTCTTTCTGACAATTTCAAACAATCGCTCAAATCAAAGTTGTTCGCTAGTAGCGGTAAACTTTTACCAAAACTTCTTACCAAATCCTCCTCGGCTTCTTTAGAAGCCAAAGCGTCAGCTACTACCACTTTAGACCAATCGTCGGGACTAGAGTCTGATGGTGAGATTGGTGATAAATCATCTATTGCCAGTGGTCAAGCTTCAAGTCCTGTAGTAGATTCTCCTGAACCAACTCTGGATGTGTCACTGGAAAGTATGAAGTTGAGCTCGAGAGATATTGATGCAAATGGTGCAGTAAGCGGCGATACGGCACCGCCTCCCCCACCACCTCCACCGCCTCCGCCGCCACCGCCTCCTCCTCCACCGCCGCCAATGCCTGGCACCGGTATACCTATACCTCCCCCTCCACCACCACCTCCCCCTGGAATTGGTATGGCTCCTCCACCACCCCCGCCCCCACCACCATCAACTCCATCTTCACAAAGCAGCTCTACTGCTTCTACACCACCCCCGCCCCATCCCGCTCATCCTTCGTTACTTGCTACGGCCAATCGTAAAATGAGCTCTTATCAACCGAAGGTCAAAACCAAAGTCGTGCAGTGGGATAAGTTGAATCGACAGGGAATAAATGAGACTCTCTGGGACCCTAATATCACCAGTGACGAGAAGCGACAGAAAGCAGCAAAGTTCGAAGCAGAATTGGCTACCTCAGGAGTGTTCGATGAAATTGAAAAATCATTTGCACAAAAACAAGTGGCTGAATTCAAGATTAAAACTGCAAAGGCAGCACTACAGATAATAGACTCTAAGAAGGCGTACAACTTGAGTAAGTACCAGTTTATGTGAATGCTTTATGAAATTTTTGCAGGTGATAATGTCGCTTGAATAGATATATTCATTGGAAGTCTTGTAAAACAAATATCATTTGATCAACTAAAACCAAGGCTGTTGGCAATGGATCCTGTCTTTGATGATGAACAGTTGCTGAGTACTTTGATTCGATACGAGGCTTCAGACAAAGAGAAGGAAGATCTGAAGAAGTATATCAGCAATCCGGATAATGATCAAAATGCTCTATCGGAGCCAGATAAATTCTGTTTGGAGGTAAGCGACGCTAAGTTTTGTCCTATGCAATATCAGTCAAAGTTCTACGTGGTCTAAAAAGGTGCTATAGATGACATCGATTCAACGGTACCGCCAGCGCATCGAAGCTATGCTTTTCAAAAGCACATTCCCGGACAAAATTGCATTTGTTGATCAGGTAAAAGAAGAGTAAATGAACAGAATTTTGATGTCGTATTCAGTCGTTAGTAACCCATATACTCTTGATTGCAGCAACTGAGTGCTGTTCTGGACGCCTCCAAATCCGTTCGAAATGCGAACAACTTTACCGATCTCCTAACGGTTAGTACTTTCTATACTTGTCAGCTATCAATTCGATAAACATTAATCATTGGCACATCCAGCTCATTCTCATTCTTGGTAACTTCTTGAATGGATCCGGTCATCGTGGTGGCGCATTCGGCATCAAACTTGCAAGCATTAACAAGTTAACGGATACTAAAAGCGATGGTACCACACCTACACTTCTTCACTATATAACAAAAGTAGTGCAACAAAAGTTCCCGGAAATGTCATACTTCATGATCGAACTGCGGCCCACCGAACAAGCTCAGAAAGGTATATAGTGATTCCAGGGCATGATGATATCCGCGCATGCTCTAACTAGAATTCATCTTAGTGGTCTTAAAGGATGTCATGGAGGAATATAAGGCGCTGGAGAATGGATTGAAAAGCTTGGGAGTTGAATTAGAGGAACAAAGGAAATTGAAGGAAGGCGATTCTACTGATCAGAATGATCAAGATCTGTTCCTGAAGACCATGGACGAGTTTTATGCTGCTGCAAGAGATCATTTCTCCAAAGTACAAGTCATTTGCCAGGAGATGTGTGAAGCATACGACACGGCCGTCAAATACTTTGGAGAAGATCCTGAAAAAATGCTTCCAGATGAATTCTTTGGAATCTTGTTCCGGTTCCGAGCAAGTTGGAAGGTAATGATTAGTGATGTTGAGAGGGCTCTCAAATGGAAAAAAGCTGATATAAGGGGGCTAAATTTGCGCTCTATTATGTATCGACTCTCTAACCCCAATGGTCACGTTTTATAGGGTGCGGTTGATGATTTGGAAGCAGCACGGTTGAAGAAGGAAAGGTTGGAAAAACAAATGCGTCTTGCCCAAGAACGCAAAAACCGCCCCAAGAAGGTTGTTTCTCCCAAGAGTAAAGGCATCGCCGTCAATACCAGTAAGTTTCTAACCCAACAATGAAAATGTCTATGCGCGACTTGATCACTTATTGTATTTTTCACTTAGGCGATGAAAGCGAAACGGCTTACTTGGATGAGCTCATGGAAAATCTACTACAAACCAGCGGAAGGGAAGTTCGAATAAGAAAAAGGAATGAGAGAGGAACGCAGCGTCAGTCCAAGCCGCTACCAAAAGAACCCGAAGTCAAATCTGAAAATGCCGATTCGATAGCTCTGAGAGCAAAGTCGTTACTTTCCTCCATGAAAGACGATGATTATGTGCCATCCAGCAACTCGACACAACCTCTTGATATAGCTACGCCTACAAAGGGATTCATATCAACACTTTCATCTGATTCAGATAACGAAGACGACGATGAAGAATCATCGCCTGCTGAACAGAACCCTCCTGTGAGGAACAGATCAAGACAAGTAATCACAGAGACAAACAGACGATCCATAACCAGCGATAACTCGTCGTCAATTAAACGACCAATGAAATCTGCAAGACGAAGGCAACCACTAGATTTATCCATTTCACAAGCTGCGCGTGCACGCCGGCGTGGATCATGAGCCTCTTCAAAATACAATTGCGCGGCGCAAAATTCCCTACCGGTCAAAAAGAAATCAGGGAGAAAAGTACCGTAGATGTTGCTATCATAGTTGTATATGCCATTGTAATGTTCCTAGATTGATTTCGTCTCATATTATTAATTGTGTTCATACCTTTCGCCTCATTTTGTCATGTACATAAACATTTGACCACCTAAGTGAATTCCACCATGAAAACGTAGCCACTGGTCTTCTTCCCAACTTACAGTAGTCTTTACTTGACTACATCCAAATAAAGCTTGATGACTGGTACATGAGTTTGCGCAAGTATTTTATTATAACGTACTATATCTTACTATATCTTGAATTGAATACGTAATGCAATCAACGCAATTGCTTTGGAATATTTTGTCGTGCGATTCGCTACCGCATGTAATTTGAGCAAAAATGGAGTGATGGGATAGGAACAGATTCAAATGACAAAGGAAAAAATGAATGAAATGAAGTTGGAGATAAGTAAGCGACAAAGGATTAGTTATATTCAGTAGATTGGCGTGGGTATAACTCAAAATCGCTTGCTGAATTTCAGCCGTAAGTCTTTGGGAGTAGAGAAAAACATTCCACCATCTAGAACAACACGGTCCTTGTTGATGCTATCTTCCGGAAGAGTCCAAGTAAATTGACGAAGGAGCATAGCCAGAGTTACCTTTTGTTCTGCAAAACTGAAGTTCATGCCTACGGAGACGATATGGAACAAATCAGTCAGTCAGATTTCTTCATAAAAGCAACCGGTGCAGAACGATAAAATATCTCACCAATACATTGTCTTGCTCCATTTCCGAACGGAACCCAAGCAAGACCAATTCCTCTTTTGGAGTCATTCTCACCCCCAACTTCGAAGCGCTCAGGTGTAAACTTTTCGGTGTCCTTCCAAAGCTTAGGATTGTGGTGCATCATATATATGTCGGCAGATAACGTGGATCCTTTCGGAATGAATGTGCCTTCAAGATGAGTGTCTTCTTGAACAACTCGTAATGTGCTATTTTGAACAGGTGGATTCAACCGCAGTGTCTACAGGCGAAGAATCAGTACTACCGTCTTATTCCATGTTGTGAATACCAAGTGGTTACCTCTTTCATTATCATGTAAATGTACTTCATTTCAGAGCATTGTGCTGCTGTCGGATAGATAACATCATCAACGTCTCCTAGAATATCGATAACTTCTTTACGAGCTTTCTCTTGTACATGCTTCGGGGGGTTTAGAATAGTTAGGGATATGGCTTCATAGTTCCCGATGACTTCGGCATTGCAAAGAGCTATATAAGAAGTCACTTACATGGTTGACAGCCAAATAGTAAAGTGCAAATGATAGTGCGTTTGCAGTGGTATCATGTCTGAAAAGTGACATTGTATGAGCTCGCCTACATCTCAGGCACCTGCGTCACATTTTCACCTACCCTGCTAAGAAGAAGACGGCCAAGTCATCACGAAGCTCTGAGTCCGAAAGTCGATGCTTGGCGTCTGTTGCCTCTTCATTGGCTTCAAGCATTAGGGTAAGCAAGTCCTTTTCAGCGTCTTCAGTTTTGTCTTTCGTACTAGCTAGAGAGATACGCTTGTGCTCGATAATGCTATAAAAGATGGCATTCATATCATCCATCTTTCTGTGCAGCTCTCTACGCTTCGGCAACGCCCAAAGGAAGTTTCTCTCGAGGAAAGGGAGGAAGAAGTAGAGTGGATCTCGAGTTCCATGGTTGATGGCATTATACGTTTGAACCTTATGGTTGACTGGGCTATCAAGAGCCTCAAAATCATAACCGAAGGCTGCCAGTCCAATAACATCCAATGTGAAACTGCATAGCGAAACAATGGTTGTCAGTACGTAGGAGGGAATACAAAGTTAATTCATATGAACTTTAAGTACCGTTGTAACAAATTTGGGACATCAACATTTTCGAGACCCTGTCCTTCTTTCTCAAAACGAACCATCATCTTTTCACACAATTTGCCAAAGAGCTTGACAGGCATGGATCTATGAAAAGCGGGATTCGCAATCTAGATGTAAAATGCTTAAGGGACACCTCATCATTCAGAGTACTGAATAAGTGCTTGTATATGAGCTTACCATGCGGTGTTTCTTCCAAACATCACCGTTTGATGTAACAATGTTCCCAGCTCCGATATACTTTGCCGCCAACGCTTCTTGTCTCTGTACAAAGCCTTGGCTTTTTGGAAAATCATCTTACCGGACCATTATACTATGTTAACAATCAACGATTTTTCAAACGCTTACGTAAATGTAAATAGAAAAATACCTCTACGAAAAAACAGCGCTTTGATTGCTACAGGATCGGCAACAGCCACAGCCCATCCTAAACGTTTGGGTCGCAGGTAAAGGCCGCTTGGTGAGGTTGATAACACGGGAAGAACAATCTCGCGTGCCCGGACGTCTATTCCTTCACCTGAAAGAACGGACCTCATGTATCGCCAGTATGAAACGGAAGGGATGTGTTGAAGATTTCGTGGGATACGCATTTTCCGGTATATCTGATAGCTGAAAACCGTCGCTACAGCGGCGGCAATGACGGTTTTTGGGGATCTACGCCTGACGAAAGGTAGAATATGCTGAGCATAAAATAAGCTGACGGCTGCCACAGCCTGGTCAATGTCTGTTACCAGAAATTGCAATAAACTCATAATAAAACTGAAATGTGATCAGCGGGAAAAAGGATCAACCTTCCAGCTGAGCCCTTTTTGTCAAACATAAAATTGTGGATGCTGGGTTCCAAAGTCTGTACACCTTTGAGGTACACCACTGAAGTTTACACATACGCACTAATTTAGATATTATGGAATGAGTTTATATCAGACACTAACAATGCATTATGCAAATGTTCATAAAGAGGAGTTTTTCATGTTGTTCGTGAAACGTATACATGGTGCGTGCACAGAAAACCCTCAGATGACAAAAAGCATGTTGTTTACGACAGGATAATGTTGTAGTAACTTGGCAGTAGCTTTCCACCACCAACTAACATACACAACGCAGTCAGTAAGGTACAAAATTACTTCGTCAACTATAATAGATGTTTTCAAGTTGATGCATTGATAAATGGCATAGTGAATATATAACATAAAACAAGTGTACTTAGAATTGAAAGATCTAGAATCGTGGAGTGAACTTCAGGTGCAAATCTCGGGGAGAAATGATGGATATTCCTCCATTCAACACTAATCCATCCTTATTGATAGAGTTTTCGGGCAACTCCCAAGTGAACTTTCGAAGAAGCATGGAAAGCAGTACCTTTTGTTCCGCTAGACTGAAGTTCATTCCTACAGATTGAAAGACAACATTAAAGGTTGCACCCGCAAATCTAATGTTTGCAAAATTGTACAATTTCCTTACCTATGCACTGTCTTGGTCCATTTCCAAAAGGCACCCAAGCAAGACCAGTACCAGCTTTTGATTCGCTTTCAGCCCCTGGAGCGAATCTCTCGGGATAGAAGGTTTCAGGGTTTTTCCAAATAGCTGGGTTGTGTTGCATGACAAATATGTCAGCATTCAAGACGGTTCCTTTTGGAATGAGCGATCCTGCTAACTCTATGTCCTCAGCACCTTCACGCGGAGAGCTGTTTTGAGCAGGCGGACTCATTCGTAGCGTCTATGTAGATAGAGTGATATGAGAACTAGGCTTGTGTGGATTCAGTTGCAGGCATTTTATCCAAACCATTACCTCCTTAATTATCATGTATAGATATTTCATTTCTGTGCACTGCGTAGAAGTAGGATGCACGACGTCGTTGCCATCGCCAAGTATATCAATGACTTCCTTTCTAGCCTTTTCTTGTATATGCTTCATAGCAGTAAATCACATTAGTACAATGACTTCGAAAAGCAAAATATGTGAGCGTCCTTTCTCATGATAGTGAAAATTAGACTTACAGGGTTAACGGCCAAATAATATAACGCAAACGATAGAGCATTGGATGTAGTATCGTGGCTAAAGTTTTGATATTAGCGTCATACCTCTCTTGGATTGCTTCCCGCGTCACTTTGACTTACCCTGCAACGAAGAAAACGACCAAATCAGAACGAAGCTCTGAGTTCGAAAGCCGATGGTCGGCATCATTTGATTCCTCATTCGCTTCAAGCATCAAGGTAAGCAAATCCTTCTCTGCATCTTCGATCGAGCCCTTTAAAGTAGCCAAAGTTTGACGTTTGTTTTCGATGATGTTGTTGAATACGTTATTCATATCTCCGAGTTTTGTATGCAACTCCCTCCGCTTTGGCATAGCCCAAAGGAAACGTCTATCTAGAATAGGGAAGAAGAAATGGAGAGGGTTTCGAACACCAGTTAATATATCTTCATAGGCGTTAACCTTTTCGTTGCCAGGTTTTTCCAGAGCTTCGAAATCATAACCAAAGGCTGCAAGACCAATTATATCCAGGGTGAAACTAGACGACGTAAATTGCATTAATGAGAAAATTAGTAGTACTACAATTCATGCGCCTATCTATAACCTACCGCTGCAAGAAATTTGGAACATCGACATTTTCAAGTCCATCTCCTTCTTTTTCAAACTGTAGCATCATCTTTTCGCTTAATCTACCAAATAGTTTGACAGGCATAGATCGATGGAAAGCAGGATTCGCAATCTACATGAATGTCGGCTTCTAAGCATATGGACTCTGAGAAAAAGTTGTACAGTCAGCAATTCTTTACCATGCGATGCTTCTTCCAAACAGGACCATTCAATGCAACTATGTTTTGACTACCAATAAACTTGAATGCTAACGAATGTTGATTTCTAAGGAGCTTTTGGTCTTTTGGATAGTCGCCTGGTGTAAAATGGAAAGTTGATGAATACAAACGGGTCTCAAACAGTACTGGCGATTTGCAGAATAACATACCAATACGAAGGAATAAGGTTTTCATTGCTGAAGGAGCAGCAACACCTACGGACCATCCGCGCTGATTCGGTCTCAGATACAGTCCGTTTGGTGACTTGGCCAGTACCGGAAGGATTACTTTACGAGCTCTTATATCGATACCTTCACCTGACAAAACTGATGTCATATATGGCCAGAACGGGACAGCAGGTATGTGTCTGAGGTTCTTTGGCACATGCACCATCTTGTAAACTCGGTAGCTAAAGAGGGCAGCTATAGCAGCAGCAATGTAGGTCTTTGAGGATCTGCCTTTGACATATGGTAGAATATGCTGTGCATAAAAGGAGCTGAGGTTTTCCAAGTGCTGATTTGTACTGTCTGCCAATACTTGTAAGGAAGTCATGGTATCAGGGTAAGAAGAAAGACGTAGCTGTGGCGAAGTAAATATGCCATAAAATATGAAATTCGGTAGTGCTTTTATCCGAATCTCAATTTGTACCAGATCCGCAGTCAAGGAGCACACCCCGGTTCAAAGAAATACACTTTGCACTCTGTAATATCCCTTACCCTCGAAGTAATCAAAATGTCAAAGCAAGTATTCGAACGCCAATAAGCGTGTCAGATACTGACGTAATTCGATCACTTACCGAAAGGAGGACCTGTGGCACTGGTGTACTCGGCTCGAACACCGCGCACTTTCCACTTTTCAGAAGAAAAATGGTGTGAATATGGAACTGTACAACAGTACCTTGTTATTAAACAGAGAATGCTGGGTTCCATTACGTTTTTTTCTGAGTCATACCGGAACTCATGAAAGTATTGACAAACCGTGGAGTACCATACCCTGTCCCACCATCTTTAATTGGTGGAGTCAGTGGCCGTATGCCGAAAAGTTAGCAGATCATTAACCTGAGTTGAGGTGAAGTAAAATTGATGGCAGTGACAATACTAATTCACCCGAAGGACAGCCTACGAGTATCGGCGAAAGAGCAATTTCATAAGGTGACTCTCTGCTGGTGCGACAGTCGCTTTTGCACAGTACTTGCAAGTCCATTGTTTAAAGAAATGGATCGCTCCGCCAATTCCGTATATTCAGCAGTCACCGCAAGATGTGGCAATTCAAAAGAAACTACCAATTATCATCGATGAGACTGTCCATTCTACTGAGCTCTGGGTTTTAGGAACTTGATCCAGCATTGAATTCAGTCATCACAAGTAAATTTTAGTAATTTTCGTATATAGAACAAGTTGGCCATGAAATAGTAGATGTGGACAGTAAAAAAAAACATTGAAGCATGGTTTCAGGACGAACAGTGAAAGATATTGAATGGATGGTAGTATTAAGACATATACAGCCATTTGTGTTTGGATTAGCGGTTTACCAAATTGCCTTTTAGGCTCTTCAAGCTTCCATGCCTGGTACGGTCATCTGCAAGTCCGAGATTGTTGTCGCTATCTCAATCCTGAACTTGGGATGGGTTTGATTTGGACAAATAGACTATAGAACGCTGGACTAACTTGCCATCTGTCTCATTGTGCCATGACTTAGAAATTTATTGATAAAGCAAACCATCAGAAATAAGTAATACTAAGGGAAGTTTCAACGGGGCTCTGATAATTTTTGTTACTCAAGTTCGGATTTAAAAACGTTTGGTGAACTTTAGATGCATATCTTTTGCATACATGATACCGATTCCTCCACCAATTTTTAAACCGTCCTTGTTGATAGAATCTTCCGGCAATTCCCAAGTGAACCTTCGTAGCAGCATAGCGAGTAGCACTTTTTGTTCAGCTAAGCTGAAGTTCATACCTATATGGAAGAACAAAACTTAGCAACCCGCTGCAACATCATTCTCAACTTTCACAAGTGCTAAAATCTTTTACCAATGCATTGCCGAGCACCATTTCCAAACGGAGCCCAAGCAAGACCTCTTCCTGCTTTTGTTTCACTCTCACCTCTAGAAGCAAACCGCTCGGGGATAAACGTCTCGGGATCCTTCCAAATATTTGGATCGTGATGCATGCTGTATATATCGGCGTTCAAAGGAGTTCCTTCGGGTATAAGCGTACCGACCAAGTCCATATCCTTATTGCTTCTGCGTGGTGAAGTGCCTACGGCGGGAGGACACATTCGCAGGGTCTAGAAGATTGATACTTAGTACAATTAATAAAAGCCCTTAAGAGCACATGTCAAATCTTTACCTCTTTCATGATCATGTAGACATATTTCATATCCGTGCATTGCGTGGAAGTTGGGAAAATAACGTCGTCACCGTCTCCCATAATGTCTAGGACCTCCTCGCGAGCCTTCACTTGGATATGCTGCAAGCGATACAGTATATAAGTAAACATGTGCAAAACTTGGCACAAAGTAATGACTGGCAACTTACAGGGTTGGCCGCTAGGAAGTACAGTGCAAATGTAAGAGCATTTGAAGTAGTATCGTGACTATGAAATTCCAATTAAAATCATTATCCACTCCGGAACAGCTTTGATGTTAACTCACCCTGCCAAGAAGAAAATGGCCAGATTATCACGAAGCTCAAGATTAGAGAGTCGATGATCAGCATCAACGGCTTCTTCGTTGGCCTCAAGCATCAAAGTGAGCAAGTCTTTCTCTGTGTCTTCAATTGAATTCTTCATACTCGCCAGAGTGTCCCGCTTGTGTTGGATGACACTATAAAAAATTTCATTCATATCGTCCAACTTTCTATACAAGTCTCGACGCTTTGGAAGGGCCCAGAGAAAGCGTTTCTCCAAAATGGGAAATACGAAGTACACTGCGCTTTGAATACCGGCCATGATACTGTTGTAAGTGTCTACTTTCTCATTTTCCGGGTTGTCCAACGCTTCGAAATCGTAACCAAAAGCCGCAAGTCCAATAACATCCAAGGTGAATCTGAGTTGAAATTGGTCAGAACATAAGCAGGCAATATCCAACCTCCATGATGCAACAGTCCATCATACCGCTGTAAGAAATTGGCAACATCGACATTGCCAAGACCATCACCTTCTATCTCGAATCGCAGCATCATCTTTTCGCAAAGTCTGCCAAAGAGCTTTACCGGCATGGATCTGTGGAATGCAGGATTTGCAATCTAGGGCCATAAAGTCAGGGTGGCTTCAGCAGAAGGTCGTGGTTGATAGAGTAACTCACCATGCGATGCTTTTTCCAAACACTGCCGTTTAATAACACTATATTTTCCTTGCCCATGAACTTGTTGAACAATGAATCTTGCTTAGCAAACATAGGACTCTTCTCAAAGTCATCTTAAGAAGCATGACATGGTTCAGTTACGGGCAAGAGTCTATATCATGTAGTTTCAACTGGAAAGGAAGCATCCTACCTGCGCGGAGCAATAAACGCTTCATTGTTGCTGGACCAGCGACACCTACAGTCCATCCCCGTCGGACAGGTCGAAGATACAGTCCATTAGGTGAGTTGGCTATAACGGGTAGAATGTAGTTCCTGGTTCGATGATCAATGCTTTCACCCGAAAGCAGCGACCTCATGAAGGGCCAGTAAGGCACCGCAGGAATGTGTTGCAGATTTTTAGGTATTTCTGACATTTTGTGCACTCGATAGCTGAAATAGACAACCACGGCAGCGGCTACAGCGGTGTATGACGATCGTCGTTTAACATAGGGAAGTATGTAGTTCACATAGAACGAGCTTAGATTTTCAAGCTGCTTATTAGCATCGTAAGCTATCACATGTAGAAAAGACATAATGTAGTGTAAGACAGCGAAAGAGAGACACAGCCGTGTAAAAGGGGAATTGTTTATAAAGTACTCAACGAAATCTGATTGGTGAAACGTATCACGCATGTTATAGAACATAGCACCGGACGACAAACAATTTAGAGAACACAGTAGACCATAGACCGAAGAAGCGCATCGCCATACGCCATCATCGAGATTTTGCCAAGAGAAATCCCCCCCCCCACTTTCAGTGAAATTTTCGTCTGAGTCATAGCCGATTTTCTGGGTAACAACAAATCAGCCTGAAACCCCCATAAAGAAGCTATCACCAGACGAACATCGTCTGACTCAGAAGATCTTTAGAAGGTCATTATATAGTTTAACAGAAAGCCCTTTTGGAGGATATTTAGCAATGTATTTAAATTATGATTGTATTGTAGTTGAACCGGTTGCATTGATGTTGAGACAAAAGGCCAAAACAAATGCATAGGACAAAGGATGGTAAAGGACGACTACACTTCTTACTATGTTGTCGTTAGAACCGTCTGATGAAGTCAACGCGCAAATCCTTTGGGGAGAGGATGCCCATTCCTTTGCCTAAGACAATGTGATCCTTGTTGATGGAGTCTACAGGGAGTGTCCAGGTAAACCTGCGAAGCATCATAGCCAGCACCACCTTTTGCTCGGCTAAGCTGAAGTTCATTCCTAATACGAATGCAAAAAGTTAAACCCAGTCACTCAATACTGACCTTTTAACATAAACTTGAAAAATAATTATACCTATACATTGTCGAGGACCATTTGCGAACGGAAGCCAAGGGAGACCAGTACCTGCTTTCAACTCACTTTCACCTCCAGGACCGAACCGCTCAGGATCGAAAGTTTCAGGGTCTCTCCAAACAGCTGGGTTATGATGTAATGCATATATCTCAGCTGTCAAGGAAGATCCTTTGGGAATGAATGTGCCTGCAAGATCAAAGTTTTCCGTATTTTTACGTGGAGAAGTATTCGGAGCAGGTGGGCATACTCTTAACGTCTACATGGGAACACTCAGTATCCATTACCAAAATTACACATATATAATACACTTACCTCTTTCATGACCATATACACATACTTCATTTGTGAGCATTGTGATGAAGTGGGATAGACAGCGTCATCACCATCGCCGAAGATTTCAATAACTTCTGCGCGCGCTTTTGTTTGGATATGCTATACGAAAATATACGAATCAGCAAAAAAATGACCTTCATGGGAAGCTCACTCTGCTACGAGACAATCCCGTAAGTAATCTTCACTTACTGGATGAGCAGCAAGAAAGTAAATGGCAAAGGAGAGCGCGTTGGAAGTGGTATCATGACTGTAAACTTTGGTTAAAATTCAATTTCTTCATAGAATTTCATATGCACTGATCGCTTACCCTGCCAAGAAGAAGATAGCCAAATCATCACGAAGTTCTGAATCCGAAAGTCGATGCTGAGTGTCTGTGGTATCTTCACCGGCTTCAAGCATCAAAGTCAACAAGTCCTTTTCCGTGTCTTCAATTGAATCCTTCAGATTAGCCAAAGTTTTCCGTTTATTCTCGATAACGTTATAGAAGAGTTTGTTCATTTCATCCATCTTTCGGTGTAACTCTTGGCGCTTTGGTAGGGCCCAAAGGAAGCGTTTCTCCAAAATGGGAAAGAAAAGTTAGATAGGCCGAAGAATACCTTCCATAATTTCATTATAATTAACGACTTTTTCGTTTTTAGGAGTATCCAGAGCCTCAAAATCATAGCCAAAAGCTGCAAGCCCAATGACGTCCAGCGTGAACCTGAATTGTATGAAATGATTGTGAGTGGATGGTCATGACCTTATGGTCATAGAGATGGGTGAGATGTGTACCGTTGTAAGAACATTGGAACATCAACGTTGTTAAGTCCATTTCCTTCTTTCTCAAAGCGCATCATCATCTTTTCACATAACCTCCCAAATAGTTTGACAGGCATTGATCGATGGAATGCGGGGTTTGCAATCTGGTGGCGGGAAAAGTTAGGATGGGTTTCGTCCAAAAGGCTGTCTGTGCTGAGTTCACCCACCATACGATGCTTCTTCCAAACATGACCATTCAACGCAACGATGTTTTCCGTGCCTATAAATTTGTTGAGAAGCGATTCGCTATGCAGGGAAAAGCTTTCGTGCTTCGGAAAATCGTCTGATCGTAAACTGATAAATGAGTACTCTTGACTCCTATGGCAAAATCGATTTGCGATATGCACGTACCTTTACGAATGAACAAAGATTTTATAGCTGCTGGGCCAGCAACGCAAACGGTCCACCCCCCTCTATATGGACGAAGGTACACGCCATTTGGCGATCTGGCTAATACTGGAAGGACAATCTTCTGGGTTCTAACATCGGCGCTTTCGCTTGACAGAGCAGACCGCATGTATTTCCAGTATGGAACAGCCGGTATATGCCGAAGTCTTTTTGGTATCTGGGCCATTTTGTAGAGCTGATAACTGACGAAGGCAGCCACAGCACTGGCAATAAGAGTGTATGGCGATCTGCGTCGAATAAAAGGAATAATCTGATTTGCATAGATGATACTGAGGTAGTCAATTTTCTGGTTCGTACCGTCTAAAACAGCTTGTACCAACGGCATATTGTAAAGTGAAAGGGAAGACGTAGACTACCGACGATGGAGATCACTGGGGCTAATCTTAAATATGAGAAAAAAAGCCAACTAAAAGTTACCCTACCCTTGAGGAACGTTGTACCATGTCCTTAGGTCTGTGGAAGATCACTGGATGCTACAGCAGGATAGCATCATTTTTTCATTTTCAGGCTTCAAACTGCAAATGCACATAGAGGATTGTCATATAGTGTTATGCCGGTAAAAATAGACTTCAACTCTTGTACCGTGAAGATTCGCATAGAAAAATGTCAGGTACCAAGTGAAAACCTGAAACGTTAAAAGAGTCGGTCCAAACTCAATATCGGTCCATTACATCTATGTATTTATATTCCATTACAGAATATGATATAGGCCAAGTTCATAGTCGACAATGTCCATTATTTGAAATGTAGGGAAGAGAGTATATATGAATTGAGTTTATTATTCCTACGCCTTATTGGCTTTAAAATCTCTTTTTAAATTTAAGATGCAAATCCTTTGGAGAAATAATGCCCATTGATCCATCTATCACTAAGCGATCTTTGTTGATGGTGTTCTCGGGAAGCTCTCAGGTGTATTTTCGGAGCATCATAGTAAGCAACACCTTTTGCTCAGCCAAGGCGCCAAAGAGAGTCAAAATTACATTGGTTCTCGTATTGAACTTGAAATGAAATACTTAGAGAGTCTAGTACATTAATGACGCAACTATTGTACTTTTGTGTTGTACTTTACTTCGTGCGTTGCCCTAAGAAGTGCTATCCCGTCAGCAAACTCTAACTTCCTCAGTCCCAACTTGAAATATGTTCTTACCAAGACGCTGAACATAGTGCAAGATGTATATACTGATAATGTTATATCAATTACGCAACTGTAAAGATTAAGTATTGAACATTGCTTTATATGCTTTCCCTAAAAACAATCTCATGTTAGGAGCTTTGTTCTATCTCGATTTGAATTTAGATGTATGCTTACCAAGGCATAGAAGATATTCAAAGGTGTCTTTGTTGACGTAAATGAATTTGATTGGAGTACTTGTTGAGTGCGGTGCAGTAACAGCACAGATTTGACGAGTATGCGTTGACTTTGCTAGTAGTGCTTTCCCTACGGATTGATCTCATGAGTAAGGTACTCTGGCTTTCTAACTTGTAAATACAGATGTGTGCTTACCAAGGCACCAAAGAGAGTCAAAATTATATCGGTTCTTGCATTGAACTTGAATGAAACATTTGGAGAGCATAGTACATTAATGACGCAACTTTTGTACTTTTGTGTTGTACTTTGCTTCGTGCGTTGCCCTAAGAAGTGTTATCCCATTAGTAAACTCTGAATTTCTCGTTCCCAAATTTAAATGTTCACTTACGAAGACGCTGAAGATAGTGCAAGATGTATATACTGATAATGTTACATCAAATGCGCAACTTTGAAGAGTAAGGTTTGAACATTGCTTTATATGCTTTCCCTAAAAAAAAATTCCCATGTTAGGAGCTTTGGTCTATCTCCGTTTGAAT